GATTATTTACCCCAAAATATCCCAAGACTGGAGCATATACAAACCAGCTTGGGTCAAACGTCCAAGACCCTCGTATGTAAAATTTTCACCGTCCTCCCCAGCCTTGTATCTCTATCTCGGTGTTGTTTTCTCCATGAGTTATAACTTACTACATATGTTACATTTTTCTGTTTATTGTCTGCCTCTACCTGTAGATGATGTAAGCTCCATGATGTCAGGGTTATTTTTATCTTTACTTGTCTGTTTAGTTCCTGACCAGAACCCAGGATAAATAACAGTGCTCGGTATAACAACAACGCCTCGATATTTGTTTAGTGAATGAATAAGAAAAGATAAGGGAGTCTTTCAAGAGAACAGACAAAATGACGAAGGCCTTCAACAGGAACGATGATTACTTTGGGCTGGAAAATCAAGGAAACATAGCATTTCATTGTGCCATGGAACAAAGGTCGCCAGTGTGGTCTCAATGCACAGACAGGAGTTGACGGCTTGCCAGGCAGAGAGAGTCCCTACATTGTTTCAGAAAGGTCAGCAAGTCTCCACGAACCGAAAGCGAAAGGGTCAGAGGTAAGTGATGTGGAGAGGAAGTTTTGCCTAAATTTCCAACTGATTCAAAAGTGGAGTCTGCAGTCTCCCTGGAGGTGAGCTGTTGCTCTGGGTTTGCATCACTCCGGCGGGTTGCGTAAGGCCCTAGTGGGAGTGGACTGGGGATCACACAGAGAGCACACTCACACAGGCGTGCTCACAGCTTGGCGGGATTTCTCTCCGACTGTCTCGGGAGATCCAGGAGGAGGGCATTTGGGGTGGAGAGCACAGTGTGAGCCAAAGCACTCAGGAAAGAAAACCCAGGGCTCATCCTGGGAAGACACAGGGCAAAGGGTGGTTCCAGATGAAGAAAGGGGCAGAGATGTTGGGAGAGAGGCAGAGGTTCCACTGTAGGCTCCTTGAGTGTGGCCAGCAACAGAGAGCCACCAGACATTTGTGGTCAGGAAATACGCTCTGACCTGTGTTTACGAAGATCTAGGCTGCAGCAGCAGGTAGGATTCACTGCAGCAAGAAGAGGCGGAGGTCAAGTTAGGAGACTGGTGCAATTTCCAGGTGAGAGGTAGTAAAAGCTAAAAGACTTGGGAAGAGTGAGACAGGCGAACAGGCTTCCAGGGAGGTAGGGGGTCAAAGAAGAGGGTGGGAGAAGTCACAGGTGGCTCCAGGCGGGGCCACAGTTGAAGCCCGCTGCTGCTTGTGTCTCCTGTGCTGACACTCTCCCAGGTCTGAAGGTGTGGGGGCTCGGCCAGCAGGCGTGCTGGACTCCACAGTGGCTGGCTGGTGGCCTGCCACTGTAGTTTAGCCGGTCACTAGGTAAAAGTGAAGGGAAGGGCAGAAAGTGCAAATTCCAGTGGTTGGTGGATAGTGCTCCTGCTCCAGTACACCTCCCACCGACACTGACATGCAAAGGGGGTCACTCTGGGGTGCCGGGTCTTTGGGTCCAACCAGGGGGAGCAGCCCTCCCCCTAGGAGGTGGGGGTTCAATGAGCAGCATCTGGCCCCACCCCAGACACAGCCCAGGAACAAGATTCAGGCAGCAAGAGCCCAGGCCCAGGAGAGATCTGCAGCAGAAACCTTGGTGAGAGCCAGGCCTGCATCCTGGGCAGGCCCAGGGTAAGGTTACCAAACTGACCACAGGGCACACCGGCTGGTGGGGAAAGGGCTCCAGACACACAGTCAGGCTTGGCTGGGGAACGGTGGGGCTGAGATGCCTCTGTCTTAATGGCTACGCTGGGGGAGGCCAGGAAGCCCCCTTACACCAGTCTTTCCTTCCCCCACTTCCCAGCAAAGCTGTAGGAAGACACTCAGCTGCAGAATGAGCAGTGCTTATTTAACCTTCGTCTTTTTCTGTTGGGTTGGGAAGAAAGGGGGTGCTTCTGAGTACACCACACTCAGATAACTCTGAGACAGCTCGCCCTGCCAAGCAAAACAAGCTTGTTTCTTTGCCACCTCTTCCCCTTGACACACGTCCTAAAGATGGGAACTAGCAGTGGCAACGGGGAGATGGCCGAGGACTCAGCCACCCAAGGGCCAGCTGCCCCAGGCAGAGCCCTCCACGTGGTGGCCTCCCCTTTCTCTCCACGCCTCTGCCAGAGGGTGCTGCCCGCCAGAGCCCTCAGGGGGTGTGAACGTGGCAGAGTCGTGGGAGTGGGCCTTGGAAGGCACTGACTCCAGAAGCCACCACCCTCTGATGGAGAAACTCCTCGCCTGTCCCCAGGGACGTCCTCTACACCCTGCCATCTAGAGCAAGGACAGCCAAGCTCGCCCAGGGCACCCCGCACCCTCCCCACCTGTCTCCTTCCCCTTCTTTGCTCTCCGCAACTGCTCTCGGCAATTGCTTCTACCTCTCCTTATAGGCCACAGGTCATTCCCCAGCCTGGGGAATCGTTCATGACTGGAAGCTGGTAACTCATGCAAGTGGCTTTGGTCTCGGTTCTGATTTCAGCCTGAGGCCACTCCGCCCCTCCCCCCACTCGTCTTGAGGAAGTGCCTTTGGAGATGAGCCCAGCCCAGCAGGGGAAGGCGCTGCTCTGGGGACCAGGAAGAAATGAGGCCCCCAGGAGATCGTTCCTTGGAGGATCCAGGATGTCATGAGATGGGTATAAGGGACTGACCCAGCAGGCAATTCATTGCTCACCTCATCAGAAATAAACGCATCTGTCTGATCTCTGGGTGGGTATGTCCTTGGGAACTTCAGAAAAGCCAGTGAGTCAAGAGGCCAAATAGGGGAACTGGGCACTGAGTCAGGTACCACATCATCTTTGACATCATCTCACTGAATCCTCTGGCTTACCCTGAGGTGTGTGGATTTCGTCCCTGTTTCACAGCAAAGGAAGCCAGGGCTCACAGGTATTAAGAATCCCACCTAATGCCCTGACCCATGTGGCTCAGTGGGTTGGGGGTCATCCTGAAAAGCGAAAGGTCACAGATTTGATTCCTGGTCGGGAAATATTCCTGAGTTGCAGGTTCAGTCCCCAGGTGGGGTGCATATGGGAGGGGCAGTGGATTGAAGTTTCTTGGTCACATCAATGTTTCTTTCCCTCTGCTCCTCCCTTCCTTCCCCTCTCTCTCTAAAAAGAAAAAAAGGAGGTAATTAAGTCAAAATCAAGTCATTGGGACGGGCCTGAATCCAATATGACTGGTGCCTATTCCCCCTTATAAGAAGGGGAAATGAGGACCCAGACACACAGAAAGAAGTCCACGCCAGGACAGAGAGAAGACCACCCCTGGCAAACCAAGGCGAGAGGCCTCAGCAGAACGAGAGAAAACAGATTTCTACGGTTTAAACCATTCAATCTACGGTCCTTCATCACCGCAGTGACAGCAAACTAAGACAAGTCCCCCTTCCCTGAATGTGCACTATTTCCTGGATCCTGGGCCGGTAGGTCACACTGAATTAGCTTTCAGTTGGGGTCCCCTCCAGGTCGCTGGTAGAAGGCAGAGGACCGCTGATGTCCGCCGAACCCCTTAACTAATGCCATACTCTGACTGCACAACTATCTTTCCATTGTAGTTATTATGGCAACAGCTGCCTCTGCCTCCCCTCAAAGCAGGACCAGAAGTACAGGAGGGTGTGTGTCCCGTGCTCAGACACGGACCCCCCGCCCCACTGTAGGTGCTGCCTGGGGTGCCAGCCCTTTCTCCTGCAGCCTGATTTGAGCAGCTGCTTTTCTCCTGTAGTAAACCACAGGGAAAAGCAAGATGCTCCACTCCTGAGCCCTCCCCGTTACCACCATGCCAGCCAGTCACCCAGTGACTGCGGCCAACCTTCCAAAGCGATAACTAACCCCCCTAAGATGCAGCAACATGGGTGAGGAAACCCAGACTGGAGGTGGACGAAAACCAGTCTCTGAACTTTATGAGCATTTAATTTGAATACATCCTGTCACAAGTGAAGATGAGTTAACACTCACACAGAAGGGGGGGGGGAAGCCCCTTTGAATTGCAGGAACAAAGGGGGGTTACAAAAATGAGCCCAAGTGCAGAGGCAGCGGATGGAAACAGATGCATTGAGAAGAAAAAGTTACACACACAGAGGTGTGTATACTCATATGTCTGCACGTATACATATACACCCATTTGTGCATGTGCTATGCACACACACATACACACACACACACTTCATCTCTGTAGGGCAAGCGCTTGTGGAATGTCACACGGGGAGAGGACCTATGCCAGCGCTACCCTGCAGGGAAGGCTTAATCCCCCCTCCCACATTTTCCTCGATTCTTCCATCAGTTGGAGAGAAGGCACCAAAACAAAAGGCTCATAAGTAAGATCCCCCTCAAAAATCTGTATTTTTGGCATTCTTCAGTTATTTACCCTTCAAACTCGATGACTTCTAGATGGACACCCTCATAATTTCTAGAAAACGATTTCTGTGTTTTTCCTAACCCAAAGACTCGGAAGTCACAGAGTCTTTCCCCTTAAACCAACAACAAATACCCCAGAAGAATTGCAGAAGAAATACTCTAGAATTGCATTTGCTGACATATGTGTAAAATATTTAACAGCACGCTTTGTTTACACTATTTTTATTCACTTGTATAAAACAGAAGGAAAAACCTCGGCCTGACCTTATATTCTGGAAGAGAATATATTCTGAGCACACTTCATTACAAGCATGAAAAACATCCCTTCTGAGAAGGGAAAAAATACATGTGGTGTTTATGCCTCAGGCCAGGAAGTATACCCTTTAGCTTGCGTTCTGCCCAGAACAGTCATCTAGACACATCAGCGCATTTCAGTGCAACCGCCTGCATGTGTCTCAGTTCAGCGGAAGCAGTTTGGTCAGAGGTTCCTGCACAGAACAGGAGAGGGTTAAAGCTGCCTGTTTGGCACAGGGTTGGAAAGTACCTGGAGCTCTGGGGCTGTACGTGGAGCTAAGGGGCTGGGGTAGGCTAGTCAGAGGCTGAGGATGCAGGTGGGTCTCTCCAGAGAAGCCAGCCATGGCCTTGGTTATCCCAACAGCAAACAGCAAAACCACATCAAAGGAGCAGGAAATGGTAGCCAGAGAAGCCCACAGCAGTGATGGGATGGTGGAGCAGGTAAAGTCTACCCAGTTGTTTGAAACAAGGTAAGGAGCACAGATAAAACAGAGAGGCTGGGGGTGCAGGGAGGTGCAGGGTGGAGAGATGGAAGGGCTCATGCAATGTTTTTTTTCTGAGCACTGTCATAATAATGAGTAAATGAACAGGTCTCTATTCCCAGTTTTCTGTGCATGGCTCTGGTTTGAGGATTGTAGGGCTGTAGACGTTTCTTTCAAGATCCAAGAACAGATCTTACTGTGTTGCTAGGCAGATAATATGAACGGGGTTTATAATGTGGAGTTGCTGCAATATCCATGATTACTTAATTCTGCTATGGAAAATGAGAGAAATTAAGTATAGAAATAAGTAGCTTGCTATAGACTGAATGTTTGCCCCCCCCCCCCCGAATGTCTACATTGAAATCCTAACCCTCGATGTTACAGTAGGAAGTCGGGCCTTTCGGGGGTGATTAGGTCATGAGCAAGGGATTCTGGGGACTGGGATGATGGCCTGTACAAGAACACACAGAAGGGAGTCTGCTTCTCCTCTCTCCACTCTGTAACACGTGATGATGTAATAACAACCAGCCCTCTGCAAACCAGGAAGCCAGCTCTCACCAAACACCGGTCTGCCAGCACCTATTGCTCTTGGACACAATCCCCAGCCTTCAGAACTGTAAGAAATACACCTCTGTTGCTTAAGCTATGCTGTCTGTGGTGTTTTTGTTACAGCAACCCGGATGGACGAAGACAGCTTGCCTAGTAGTGGAACTGGAGGCTACCAATACATCAAGGAAAATTTTCACAGAAAGCCGGTAAGAAAACAGGCGCCGCACAGGAAAGAGTAGGGAATAAGTGAGAAGAAGAAGGGGCTGGAGAAATTCAGGAGGGGGAAGGGTTGCCTTTCCCACTGAAGTGGTCACGGGTTTCACTGATACAGTGAGATTTGTGCTTGGGTAAATGGAGGCTGCTGTGGAGGCACATCCAAGGGACTGGGAGGAGGGCTCGTGGAGCAGCAGTCCAGGAGAGTGGGGAGCAGCAGAAAGAACGGAGAGCCTTTCATATCATGTGGGCTGATGGGCAGACAACTGGGCAAACTGCGGGGTTAACCGCTGGGCCAGCGGAGCAGCCTGGTCCGAGGGCACCAGAACCTACCTGTGCTTTTGGAAGTCCCTGGGGTTTTGTCAGTGGCACTTCCATGGACAAAACAACGCACAAATCAGAAATGCTGCCTCTCAGACATCTCCTAGCTCTTTAAAATAATTCTCTGAGAAAGAAAATAAGATTTGTTGAATAACCTTCCCAATAATTAGGCGTCGGTACTGTGTCCACTGAAAAGGTGTGCAGGTGAAGGTCAGAACTCATCCCAAATTCCGCAGCTGCTGAATGGCCAAGCCAGCACCGAAAACCACGTCTGACTGGCTCCCAGGCCTGTGTCTGTCTTCACTGCACCAAACGGAACCCACGCTGGAGAGGACACAGGTCAGAGTCTGGGTGGCATCCGCAGGGCCCTGGAAAAGGGGCCTTCGACGCCTAGAAGGAGGACCTTGTGACCCTGTTACTTGGTGGGAAGGTTCCAGACTGCGACATAAAGGCTGCAGGACACTGAGAATTAGGCTCGGGGGAGGGGAGAAATATTAACAGATTAAACATGGAGTTGGCTGGGTGTTGATGAGCTAACCCTTAATAAATGGGATAAATAGCAGGATGTAATTAACCTCTGCACGAAGAGGACCCTAGGTATTTCCCTCAATGAATAAACGCTCTGAATCATCACGCTAATTCCAACAGAAAAGGTAGGGAGAGACTACCGTTCTTATTGGAAAAGAACAGAACACATTGCACTGTATTTATTTTATACATTGATTCTAGATAACCCAAACTTCTTTTAAAGATAAAAGCTGGATTTGACAGAAGATGAAGTGATGTGGAGAACGTCCACTATCACAGGAGCCACAGGCTGTGGCCGGGCAACGGAGGCCAACGTGCGGCTGGGGTTGCCTGAGCAGGGGGTGCTGTCCTTCTGCCCGAGTCCTCTCATCGTGGTGGCCCCTGAGAAGCTGCAGGCGGGGGTGGGTTCCCCTGGTTCCTCCTCACCTCTCCTCCCCTGTTGTTCCTTCTAACGCTGGTAATCTGAGTATTCCATCCAACAGGAGAGGCTGCTCGTACCCTGACTGCAGAAAAGCATTACTCCAGCCCTGGCTGGTGTCGCTCAGTGGATTGAGCATGGGCTGAGAACCAAAGGGTCACCAGTTCAATTTCCACTCAGGGCATATGCCTGGGTTGCAGGCCAGGTCCCTAGTGGGGGCCACGAGAGAGGCAACCACATGATGTTTCTCTTCCTCTCTTTTTCCTTCCCTTCTCCTCTCTCTAAAAATAAATAGATAAAGTATTAAAAAAAGAAAAGAAAAGCATTACTTCAGCCAAAGGGAATTGATCAATCTCATGCAGTGTAAAAGGCCTTTTGTTTTTCACCAAAGTAGGTAAAAATGCATGTTTAGGAATTGTTGTTCTTGGTCCCTTCCTTCTGGCTACCTGAAAATTCAGAACTAAGAACTTGAGGGTCACTAAGGGCCTGCAAGTCTTCTAAAGCTGCTGTTGGCTGAATGGTACCTGCTGCTTGTTCAAGCAAAGATCAAGCGGACATTCCAACACCTGTCTTTGCACTGCCGACCACCAGGTCAAGCTGGGATGTGGTTATGGAGGGATCAGAACACACCACGCCGACATACAGATTATTTCAAAGGAAAGGTAATTAGGAAGCGAAAGCACAAGAAGAGCTCTCTGCCACCCTCCCCATCCGCCTAAAAACAGGCCACAAACTCCCCTTGTGTGGGTGTCTCTCCCTCTCCTACCAGGAGGAGAACAGCCCTTATCGCCAGAGACTGCTGGCGAGGTGGGACCAAGATAAGTCTGCACAAGTCAGCCTTACAGAACAACCCTCATCCACCATTAGGTTCCCCCACTCATTTCTTACTCGCCTCCCCATAATTTATCAGCCCTAGAAGTCCAAGGCCCCTTCTTCTGTCTAGCAGTTTCTTGACAATTTACTGCCCTTTGTTAAAATAAGCTCCCAAGTCTAATTACTTCTTTGGGATTTTTTAAACATTAAAAAAATTTATTTTTTAGAGAGGGGGAAGGGAGTGAGAAAGAGAGGGAGAGAAACATCAATGTGTGGTTGCCTCTTGTGTGCCTCCCACTGGGGACCTGGCCCAGCAACCCAGGCATGTGCCCTGACTGGGAATCAAACCAGTTAGCCCTTGGTTCACAGGCCAGTGCTCAATCCACTGAGCCACACCAGCCAGGCTACTTCTTTGGATTCTTATTTCTTTTCTGTGAAGTCCCTGTGCATATGTTTAGAAAAACATAAATTAATATTGTTTTTCCTTCTGTTAACCTCTTTGTTGGTTTAATTTGCACGTTCTAGGTACACACCTCATAAGAGGGTAAAGATTTTTTTCCTTCCTTATAGTTATGACGAGAAGTAACCAACCATTCTGCACAAAGGCCTCCATGAGGCCAAGATTTGGAGGGAAGGACAGCTGACACATCCGAGAGGCTGGACACAGGCTCCTCTCGCGTATCGGGCAGGGAGGACCGCGTGCAGGGCCAGGCAGCAGCGGGGAATGACGGCCTGGGGCTGGGGCGGCACACAGGCGGCGCCGCCCGGGGGGTTTCTGTAAAATTGTTTTTACTGCTTCATCGCTGAAGAAATCATATTCCAAAGCCTCAGGTTTTCTTTGAAAGTCTTAACTTTGGGTTGTTTTATTGCTTTCAATAAAACTTTCAAATATACGTAAAGAAATGTGATTGAATGTTTACCTCTTAGTGAGAATTCTTATCTAACTAATCTCACAAGTCCAAAAATCTTTTCTGACCTCATACTCCAACATTTGGTCTGGAAACTATGTTTACTGCTGTATCCTTGGAAAGACATTGGGTTGTCCTGAAAAAAATCATGATTCCATTATATTTCCTAGCTTTAGAGGTGGTAACATTAAGGTATAGAACAAGTGACCTGCTGAACATGACAATGCAAGGAGCAGAGCTGGGCCCACGCAGAGGTCCTCGTGCATGTAGGTCAGCTCACTGTCCGCAGCACGGATTTCCTTTGCCTCGTGTTGGTTCCCAGCTGGCTTCGGACTGATCACTCATCCGTTTTTAGCAGGCAAACCAGGCTGTGTTGGGGAAGAGTGAAGCTAACAAATGAAAGGAAAAGATAGAAGACACAGGGACAGATTGAATATCGGAGGCGGGACACAAGTGGAAAAAGAAAATGACCATAAGAAAGGTCAGGGACAGTGTGCAAGTACATGAAATGCGTTCTATTCACAACGGACTTTTCCTTTCATTTCTCTAGTCCCACAACACGGTTCAGTCCGTCTTGACCGAGTCCCCCTAACGTTTTGCTTGTTCTTCCCCGGCGATCATTTTAGACCCTGCCCACCATAACATATCGTGACAATTGCACCCTGACCAGGCCCCCTGGGCTATAAAGTCTTCAAAGGCGCAGTCAACGTTTCAGATGAATTTCTTTCCTTCATCTAATTTACTGTATTTGCTGGATAAATAGGAAAATATTTACAGGTAGACTGATTAAAAAACAACAACAAAAACTGAGCCCATTTTTATCTTCCACTTGGAAGAGTATTTGTTTTCAAAACTTGATTTTGAAAAGCTGAAGAACTTGTGTGGGACTTTGTCACTTGACTAAACAGATAAATAAAAGCCACCAACTTTGCTTTCCATGAGCAGTAGTGGGACAGAAAGAGGAAAGAACTTGAGATCGTGGGTTGTGTGGTGGCATTTTGGTGCACTTGACTTTGGGGAGGGAGGGGAGGTAGCTGCCGACGCTCCTGCTTGGGTTACACAGGGCTGGGAACGGACTAGACTTGCCACGCTGTCCTGCCTAAACTCCTCCTTTGCAGATGAAGGAACTGAGGCCCATGGAGATGGTCTTGTTCAAGTTCACTGAGCTAGATGGCGGCGTAGCCTAGATTAAATGGTTTTCAAACAAAGTAGTGAGTGAAGCAATATATTCAGCTTTTCTGCAGAGACCCTAGGTGAGAAACCTAGCATTTTCAATCATTCTATGGTATAGTTAGTTACATGCATAGAAAATAAATGGAGGCTATTGAAAAGACCTGAAACACAAGCAGGGCTAAAAACCCTTTCAGGCCACATTTTTTTGAGGTTGTTTGGTGATGCTCAGTCTAAATGCTGCAGATTCTCCCTTGCTTTGAGTCCGGACTTGATGGCCAGAGGTGGGCAGGGAAGGACACTCATTCCTCAACCCACCGACGCCCGCTGCTTGAGAACACACAGCGGGCACAGACTTCTTTGGTTTGAGGAGCAGGAGAGAGCCTCCCAGTGTTTTTGAGGATTCCCATTCCCACCATCTGATCTAAGAAGTGTAGCCAACAATCCACATAAAATGCAAAAGGGATCACTAGTGTTCCAGTTGAGAGTAGCGAGCCAGCCACCCTCTCCGCTCAGGAAAGAGGAATCCACGGGGCCTTTCTTTACCATTGCCACCTGGATTAATTCATTAATGATTTTTCAGGCAAGTCTGATTCAGGTACTTGGGGACAGGGCAGTGAGTCAGAGGCTGGCATCAAAACCAGAATAGAAGCCATAGTCCTCCCTGGGGACCCTACTCTGGGCTTTAAACTCCCAGATCACACAACTGCCTAATTGGAAAGAAATGTTCTTAAACAAGGACCTAGGTTTCGCCAGGCCTGACAGTGACTAATAAGGTCAGTGTAAGGACTGCCTGACGAAAAAGAAGTTGGATTGACATGTCACAGTGAATTTTTTAAGTATTTTCACCTGGAGGTTTACTGCTGAATATAAATAAAATTTCTCTCCCTGGGCAATCCCATCTTCTGCAGATATACTTTAATTAAATTAACTTTGAAATGACATTCAAACCATGCCTTCCTTCCAAATGCCTTTTTTTCCAAGATCTACTTATTGACCAGCAGCTGTTTCATAGCTCCTGTGTAAAATGATTAAGGGCCCCACTCCCAGCTCGCACAAGTCTAATTGAGACAAGTTTAATCCTCTCCGTAGTGGGCATCCAGTAGTCCGAACCATGTAGTCATTTAACTGTTCCAAAAGGCCCCCACAAAATACCACCATTTTTTCTAAGGTGTTTACAAAGGATCCGGATACACAATGCAAATCTCATTCACCGAAACTCACACAAGGAATGGCGAATTCCTGAGTTGAGGACAGAGGCTTTTAAAATAGTCTCTTTCAAAAACCAGGCATTCGCGTTCGTAATTAAAGCGGCTCTTGACTTGCATCCGTTCAGTCCGAATCTGCGGCTCCCCTCCAGGGTGCGGGAGCGCAGGCGCGGGCACGCACACGTGGACACACAATCACTCACACGCGCCCGCTCACACCCCCTTCCCTGTGAATCGCCTGCAGGATTTGCGGGTTTCGCCACCACAGGTTACCGTCAGGTGCAGAAAGCAGTCTTGTTCCGTGGGCATTTTCCTTCCCGCGGATTTGACTTATTATTTATGGGCCGCGTGAGCACTGGGCGGGGGCCGGCCCGCGGGGAGAGACCCCCGTGCCGGGGAGACAAAAGCTAGAGGAGCGGGGCCAGTAGAGCCCAGGGACATCTCCCCAGCTCCGGCGACAAGTGCGAAATTGGACAGGATCTGCCTGCGACTGAAAGGTTCTTGAAAGAGACGTTCTGTCCAAGCTCTTGTAAAGGCGTAGGCGTTCGTTGGGCAGGGAGAGGCCCCGACCCGTGGGCCTGGCAGGGGACGGACTCCTGGGCTTCCCAGGAAAGCGCATGAGCCCTGGACGGTCTGAGCACGCGGGACTCCTTGGAAATGCGCGCCCCCGGTGTACCCGAGAGAGTGAGGCTTTAGACACAGCCTCACTGCTACGTCAGTCCAGGAGGAACCGGCCGAGGCCCCCTTTGCCCTCCGCAGGGAGTACAAACTCCCACCCACCAGAGGGGCCAAGCAATGAGCCTTTGACTGCGGACCTCACACCCGCAGTGCCGGACGCCCGAGGTTTCGCCACCCGGAGGCCTCGGCTGAAACGCAGTTGTGGCCCCTTCCGGGGCTGGGACTAAAGTGAGCAGCGCGCCTGGGGCGCAAAATTTAACGGGCACCAAAAAGTCAGTGGTCAAAATAACTATCTTAATGCGATGCTTTTTGAAGCAATTAATATAATTGCCAAAAAAATACGATGAACAAAAGATTAAATTCTAAGTAGATATCTCTACTTAGTTCAATGCAGAGCCCTGCTGGGCCATTTTGTAGCCCTGGGTTAAAGGGAGATCCCCGGGGCCAGGGAGTCGGGAGATTCCCGGCGCAGTGGGAGAGAAGCCGGAGCTGCAGGCCTCGGAAGTAGAGGCCCTAAGGGGGCGCGGTGGGGGTGTGGAGGGGTCGCCCTGGGGGCCGGAGGTGGGAGATCAGTAACGCTTCTCAGCGGGGAACAAAGGCTAGGCGGAAGGCCAGCGGGGCAGGAGGGAATCGAAGGGTTACGCAGCTTTCGATACCTGGGTGGGGCTCCCACCGGGACCTGGAGTGCAAGCCTTGATCCCGCAGCCACCGAGGCCGGGAGAGAGTCCTGCAATTCTCTCGCTCGCGGGTTATTTCTCACTAACGAGACTTGACAAGATGTCGGGCGAATAATTTTTGGCCTCTGTCGTGTCCCCATCGCGACTCGCACAACCCCCACCCCCCCACCCCCGCCAAAATCAGCTTCTGGGAAATTAAATGCATAAGGAAAACTTGGGACGGGAAAAAAATGCTACAGGACCTGGAAAGAGGGATGCAGATGTCAGAATCGGCCCCAGAGTTTACTAAATCCTTGACGCGTAAACTTCACAGGGTCTAGCTTCCCACCCTATGTGGACCCTCGTTATCATTTGCTAACAAGACAATTCGCACATGTTTAAGATGGGGCGGGGACATTTCCAAAAGGCAAACACGTTGGTTTGGTGGTCTGTCTCCTCCCCCCGCCCCTCCAGGGTTAAACAAACATCTTTAGGAAGCCTGGACGGGAGTGGCACCCCTGCTTTTCTCCAGAGGAACTACAACGCACGCCGGCAATGAATGCCTCCCTCTGGGTCGTAAACCAAGAGACCCAACACGTCGCCCCCATTACTGGACTTCGGGGCGGGAGGGCTTTCTTTTTCATCTGCTAAGCTGGGGCTTGCCCATGTCCTTTGGGAAGCTATAAAGCTGATTTAATGGCTTAAGATGAAAATCGATCACGCTAATGCTTAAGCTAACGTCAGAGAAATCGCAACTGAAAAAACGACTGGCCAGACCGAACGCACCCCGTAAGCCTGGGAAGAGGAGATCCCAGTCTCTGCCGAGTGGGCAGCGGTGCCACGGTCCCCCAACCCCCGCTTTGGTCCCGGGGAGGCCAGCGAGGATGTTTAAGGGGGGGGAGCACGGAGGTAAAAGGGATCAATACCGACCCCTAGCCTCCGTTAGGCCGTCTTCTCGGCCAGCTCATTTCGGTAAGCCCAACGCCGCAGCCGGGGTGCAGTGGCTGCTCTGAGACTCGGGTTGGGTAGATCGCGCGCCGCCGAAGCTCCGGCCTGCGGCTGTCAGCTAGAAGTGCCCGGCGCTCCATTCACAAAGTCCAGGCGAGCAGCTAGCCAGTGGGTCTCAGGCCTCCTCCCTCTTCCTCTGCGTCCCGGTTTTATGAATGGGCCTGGAGACAGGCGCTCAGCGCCCTGTTTACTCTGCTCTTTGTGACGTCGCGTCCCCGTGACTGGGCGCGAGCTGCCGGCGCTCCATTCACGCGCAGGGGAGGAGGTGCGGGGAGAGGCCGGCTGGGCGGAGGGAGCAGGGATGGGGCGGGGAGCAGCCCCGGGGCGGCCAGGCGCGAGGCAGCGAAGGGAAAGAGGCGGGGCTTCTCCAGGTAGTACAGAATCTGCCCCCTCCCGGGGGAAAGCAGAGGAGCGTTAATAAATCTCTAAGCCGAGGAGGAAACTCTGGGGCAGTGCGCCGAGCTCCGGCTGCTCGTGGAGAACCGCGACCTAGGAGCAGAGCCGGCCTCAGCGGCGGCTGGAGAGCCACAGCGGACAACATACAAAGAGACCACAACAGAAGGGAGCCCCTGGCCCTCTCGTAAACACTGTCCCTTCCACCGACGCCTCCCCCTCGCACGGCGCGCGGGGCTCTTGGTGCCCAAGGCCACCCGGACTTCTATGTGACCGCGAGACTGCCTAAGGAAGGATACTGGGGACAAGAGGGTCGCCTGTGGGAGTCCCCGAGTGCCAAGTTTGCGGCCACTTTCCCTCCCTTAGCCCTCGCCAGGCCCTTTCTATAGCCCAGCTGTCCCGGCTGTTTTTCGCCTGCTCTGGTGCCCTGCAGCCGTTGTTCCCGGCGACCATGGTGACCGTGGAGGAGCTGCGGGAGATGGACTGCAGCGTGCTCAAAAGGCTGATGAACCGGGACGAGAACGGCGGCGGCGCCCTGGGGCTGGTGAGCGGCGGCAAGTGCCTGCTGCTGGACTGCAGACCGTTCCTGGCGCACAGCGCCGGCTACATACGAGGCTCGGTCAACGTGCGCTGCAACACCATCGTGCGTCGGCGGGCCAAAGGTTCCGTGAGCCTGGAGCAGATCCTGCCCGCCGAGGAAGAGGTGCGCGCTCGCCTGCGCTCCGGCCTCTACTCGGCGGTCGTCGTCTACGACGAGCGCAGCCCGCGCGCCGAGAGCCTCCGTGAGGACAGCACCGTGTCGCTGGTAGTGCAGGCTCTGCGCCGCAACGCGGAGCGCACCGACATCTGCCTGCTCAAAGGTAAAGGCGAGCGCAGGGACGCGAGCTGGAAGGGAGGTGTAGCGGCGCTTGGCGGCCTGCGTCTCAGTGGCTAGGGGAAGAAGTCCTCGGAGGGACTCGCGGCGGCGGGGATCCCCTCGCACTGCTTTGTGCGTGTCCATGTGCGCGGGTTTGCAAGGGTTTGTACGTTTGTTCTGTAGTTCGAGGTCCTGAAGTCCTAGGGCGGCGAGGGCGCGTTTTCTCCGTCACCTGCAATAGTGCACCCTTCCTTGCTGTTTTGCATTTGTTTACACTCACTAACGGTCTGGCCTCGCTGGCGAAACGCCTCTTCTGCTTTGCCCACCTTCAAGTCGAGGGAAGTGCTCCCAAGTCTCACTATGCGGGTGGGGACAGGGGTAGTCCTGTTGGTTTGGCGTGCCGGGGCCCTGCCTGTACTGAGGCTGAACCCGAGAACCCGAGAGGTGGGGAAGGGGGCGAAGGACAGAGAGCGCTGTTTGCATCGGAAACCAGCCATACGGAAACCAACGCACCAGGAAGATCGGGTTTCGGACGTTGCGCGGAGCGATCTGCTTCTCCGTCCCTGCTGCCCCACTCCGAGATCCGCCTGGAAACGTGGCTAACTCCCCGGTGCCCGGCCAGACCCGGGCTCCCGGCGCTGGTAGAGGGAGGTGTGAGTATTTAGGGAAAGGAAGGCAAGATAGTGTCTTTTAAACATTCAGGCAGCAGAGAAGTACGACCTTTGTTCAGGCTCGATTCTCGACGATCGAATGGCGGTACGTGTTTCATTTAAAGACAACTCTGATGAAACCCTCTGGGGAAGAGAGGTCTTGTCAAATCTGGAAGTAAGAAACCGACCAAGGACCGTGTTCTGTCCACGTAACTGGAGGATCGGTGCGCTGGCCGGCACCTGAGGGTCGGCCCGGCCGAGGTGCAGGGCGGCCCTCGCGCAGGGGGCGCCTCAGGACGCGTGGGGTGAGGGCGTCCCTGACCGCGCCGAGCCCCTGCCTCCCTCCGCCACATTCCGTGCATTCTTCCTCCGGTGTCCAGTCCTCGCCTCCGAAGCCTGAGGCGTTTCAGACCTGGCCTTCAAAGCCGCTCGGTTCCCCCCTGCCGGCGCCCCTCGCTCCCTCCCCCTTCTCCTTTCCTCTCGGGACCTGCTCACCCCAGAGGAAGGGCGATGGTGGGGGAGGGGGGCGGAAACCTCTCCCCCGCCCCCCCTCTTCCTAAGGCACCACAGAAGGGCTCAGTGGCGACGGGCCGGGCTGGCCCTGGCGAACAGCGGGGGGCTTTGTTCTCCGCAGTTGTTTCCTGGCCGTTTGACCTGTCAGCTGCTGGGGAAACGCTGCTGTTGACCTGAGGTTGAACTACTAAGACGATTTTGCTGATTTTCCTTTCTCTGCGAGGCTGCCTTTTGCACCTCCGGTGCAGCCCAAATCCAACTCCCCTCCCCTCAAAGCGCTTTAAGAGAAAGTGCCAGGAAGGGGCCAGCACCGCGTGTTCCCGCGTCCAGGTACTGGTTAGATCGCCCTTGTGGGTTTCAGGCAGGTGAGCTCGCCTGGCCGCCCTTGCCTGGCCCTGGCGGCAACGGTAACAGAAACTGCTTTGAGACGAAAGTCCCTTGGAGTGGCCGGGTATGGCCGGGTGGTTCTCCGTGCCACCCTGCCCTGGGGTCCCTCCTGATTTAGAGCCCCCGCGCGCCCCTCTCCGTGGGCCTCTGAACCCAGGAACCCTCTCCAGGGAGGGCAGACCCACGTGGAGTCTGGGCTTGTTTTGTTTTGTTTTTCTTCTTGGAAGAAACCCGGGGCGGGGGGAGCCCCAAGAGCAGCAGCTCGGGGACCTTGGCCCTTGGGCTTCCTGGCGCGCAGACACTTAGGCCCCGCTCCCGGGAAGGGGAAGGGAGGCGTATCGTTAAGGTCCGAGTCTGGCGGCACCTCCCTGGTTCGCCCGAATCCCATCCAGAGAGCCCGGAGCCAATCGATTCTGAGAGCCGCCCCGCGGACCAGCCGCTCTGCACGAGGCAGATGCTAATACAAAGTCTGAGTAAGACGGGAGCCTCTGAGTAAAATGCCAGTCCCCTGGCGGCTGGCGAGGTGCCTGGCCAACGCAAAAGCAGTGTCTATTCTAAGGGCCGCAGCCTCCCCGAGGCCTGCACTGCCTCCGTTGGTCGGACCTGGTACGGGCAGGGAGGATGACCCCTATGCGCCTCAAAGTCGACAGACATCCAGTCCTTCCTGTCCTATGCAGAGTGTCTGGGCCTGGGTCTCAGGTTGAGCTTGTCTCTTCAGGAACAGGCCTTGGGAGTAGCCAGTAGAGGGGTCAGCCGATCTTCATAAGAAAAGAAAAGGGAATCTGCTTTTGGCAGCCGCGGCCTGAAATTCTTAGAGGTGGCACTGCCGGCTGGTTCTGTAGTGCTTGGTGGAATATTATCTTTGTGGTGGTTACCTGGGTCACATAGCCTGTTTAACTGGGCTTATTTTCATATATGTGCTAAGCAGAGTCTGTCATAACACAGTTCCTCTTCCTTCTCTTTGCCTCCTACTAAATAAAAAAGCTCTTCGAAGTGAGGGCAGAAAGGTGGGCAGTGTCTGCTCCCACCCCCATGGGGAAGGCACCCTCCAGGGGGTGAAAGCAAGGAAAGCCTCCTGCATCCCCAGCTGAAGGAAGCCCAGTGGAGGAGGCAACGTGGGTTGGGGGCGGGGCGGGTGGGGAATCTCAAGGAAACGTTGGAAAACACCCTTAGATTATCTCCAGTAAAATGCCTGGATTGATTAGGGGTTGGGTAATTTGAGTCCTGCCTGACCTGTTCATTGGATTTTGCAGCTAATGGGCCTTCCGCGTCTCATTTCATGGATGGTGGTGGGTACGGAGTAAGGGTGGTCAGACACTGAGCCAGTCCACCAATTGTTGGTGTCCGTCTGCTGGAGGGGGCTGGAAAAACTGCAGGGCATTTTCAGAAGTTACATTACCCTTCCTGGCCAACAGCGATCCAATTTTACCAATTAATTACATATGGAAGTTTGATTTTTCCATTTCTGTCTCTTTGAAGAGCAGTTGGTTGGCTACTTGTTGTAGGTTGTTACCACAGTAATGAGTGATTCCACAGGCAAGAATTCATGGGTAAGAGTCAGTTTTGCTTAATATCAGCAAAATGCTGCCCAGTTTTTGCATTTTGTAATATTAGTCAAGTTTTGTCAAAAGCTATAACCCAAAATCACTAAGTTATTTGGTCTTTTTGCTAGTAAAATTCCGATTTGGGTAAACTTTCTTTTAAAGCTAATTTTGTTTAAAATCCCATGAGGCATTTTTCGGGGCAGTTTAGAAGTTTCAGTTTTTCAGATTTAATTAGACTACGCCACTCCTTTCGAATCCATTTCTCCTTCATGCTGGGATTCAGGTGATAGGTGCTACTCCCCCCACCCCCTTTCACTAGAGAAAACTAAAAGAGAATTTTTTTTGTTCTAACAGAAGGCATTCTTTTACCTCCCATATTCCCCAAATCACAAATCAGCCTGTTACGCAGAAGATTTCACTGTTACGCAGAAGATTTCAGGTATAAAAACACTATCTTTTTTTTTTTATGTCAAATTAATCTCACCTCATGGCTTTTGACTGGTTTCAAGTTCTGATTTCAAAGCTCTGCTGGAGCTGTTTTGAGAAATTGGGTGGGGGGGAACTAGACACCCCAGCCCCCCGCTTCTCCCTCCACGTTGGCACTTGTGGACCCGCCGGCCCCAGGCCTGACCACAGAGACCCTGGCACCCGCTTCCTCTAGGGAACAGGTACTCAGACCAGTGACCAACGAGGTGGGGGCAGGGGCGTGAGGGGGCTGAGCCAGCAGCCTTGGTCATTCTGGTGACTGGCTCCTGCCTTGTCTCTCGGTCTCCATTTGCCCTGCCCACCCCGGGTCCCCCAGGAGGTCGGTGTCGCCCAACAGTGTCATAGCTCGGAGGGCATGCTGAGGGTGCACACCGCCTGCACCCAAAGGGACTGGCTTTTCTCCACACGAATATGGCAGCCTACCTGTGACAGCCAAGGATTGTTAGAATTTCAAGAAGTGGTAGGCCCTAAAGATAATTTCTAACCCCTAGTGTAGTGTCTTACTGAATTGTAATGATTGAAACAAACTTACTCATTTGAACTGTGTGCTTCCATCATAAAACTAAAGATGGTGTCCCTGTAAATTGAAAGGGAAATCTTGACTGTTATCAAGCCCATCCCAGCTCCCTCGTCCTGGATGGATACAAGAGAGGTGGGCAGCACCCGCCCAGATGGGCCGCCCAGAGCCTGAGGGAGGAAGAGAGGGTGGCCTTTTTTAAGGAGCCAGACATTTCTTTGAAAAATCAGAACATCTGAAGCCAGATAGCCAGCTTCCTTTTGGGAGCCAGTTCCGCCTACCGAAGAGGAAGTTGGACAGGAAGAAGCGGTCACTCCCCAGCGGAGGCCAGTTGCTGACCGAAGCAGATAGTGTAGGTCTGACTTGGAGGGGCTCCCGAGGTGCGGAGTCCACTTCAGTAAAACGAAAACACTTCCCAGAGTTACATGGGCACTTACGAAGCCAACGCCCACCGCAAGGGAAGTTCTCAAAGCCAAGTGACCTTCCAGTGACCCTGGATTTTCTTGCTGGGCAACCTCAGCCTTGGACTTGTCTGGATGTGAGGGCTCGGGAAGTAGGGCCACGGGTGCGGGCTGCTCCGGCGATGTTCCGAGCTGTGGGGGCAAAGCGGCCGCCACACTGAGACTGACGACCCTGGTCTCCATCGGTGACAGCCCGCCCCATCACAGCCCCCGTTAAGGGTCCTGTTAACGGTGATGGGGCGGGCCTGCATCGGCCCCTCCTTTCTGAAGGACTGCGCACCGCGACGGTTCGGTTCCGGCCCTGCAGGGACCGTGGACGGGAGGCCAGGCGGGCTTCTTTGTCAGTGAACTCTGTACAAAGTGCCCTGCTGAGTGTGTGTGCCGGAGACACACGGGAGACCGTGGAGTTGAGCTGGAGAAGAATTATTATATTCCTCAAGGCAGTTGGGTGAAAAATTACATTCTCCCCCACCCTCTTCAGTTTCAAATTAAGGTGAGAAAACGAGAACTTTAACACTACAAAGCACGTTATTGATTAAGAACATGGGGAAAACGGGTCAGAATGAGCCAGCATGTTATGAGACAACATTGAATACGACGTGGAAAAACCAGGTGGGATCTGTTATGAAATTGTTTTCAGGAGATAGAAGTGCCGATCTCTGGGGCACCTGCTGTTAGGTTGCTGTTTGCCAATAAGTGAGCTGTGGCCGTTCGGGTCGTGGAACATTGGAAGGGTTTCAGGAATGGCCTGAAACCACCTTCCATTCGGAGGGCAGGACTCCGGCGGCCTGAGTCGGGAGGGCCCAGCCGGCTCCAGCTCCCGCAGGCCCCGCCCCTGTGCCCTCCTGCCTGCACACCTGCGGGAGGCTGGGGACCCAGCCAGACGCCGGTATCCGGCTGCAATAAGCCTTCCTTCTCATAAGTTCCAGATAGAACTTGGCGATCTGAATCAAACCCTCACTCACAGGGCTCCCTCGTGGTTGCGGTGTTTGTCCAAATTTGGGGATGGGGGGAGGCAGTGCGAAGTCTGGGGGCAGTCTTCTGACCCCGCCTACAGTAAGAATTCCTTTTGACTTCCGTCTTGACCCAGAACGGGGATACAGACACACTTGAAACCAGAGTGCCACGAAATGATACCATCTGTGAATACGATGCATTCCAGTAGTTCCTATTCCATTTCATGAAATTTAAAATGCTGGTCACGGTTCCTGAATGACGACCTGCAGTTAGGAAAGCCCTGGGAAGGAAAAAAGAGTTTTTGGTGAGACGTCAGCCGTGTTCTGATCAGAGGATTTTGCATGAGCATTCTGGCCTTGCTCGGTGTGGCTTCAGGGTTCCTGCTCTCTGGGCACCCTTCCTGTACACTGCTACTGTTATGTTCCAGCCCCAGGGCAGCCCCTGACCCCCCAAGAAGGCACTCATTTTGTGATGCTCCTTGTAACAACCAGCCACAGACCCCCCCACCCCCAAAAGCCACAGCTCAGGAGGGAAAGCCCATTCCATTGCTGCCACGGGCATGGTGGGACCCTTCCACTGTTTCTGTCCCTCAGGCTGATCGACTTCCCCACTTCATTCCTTTCTACTGGTTCTCTGAAGGTCTGGAGAGAACTGACTTTTCAGCCGTCGTTCTTCTGTTCTAACAGTGTCTTTTACCGGCCGTCGTGGGCCTGGCCTCTGGTCTCTTCCGGCTTGTCCCTGCTCCAACATCATACACCCTGGGGTCAGCAGCTGACTGATTCTGCTGCCCCTGGTTGATTGATGGTGGAGTGGGGGATGGTGACCTGGAGGCGCCGTTGTCCCTGGCTGCGGAGGGGTCTCCAGCCCGGAGAGTGCAGTACCTGCCCTCCTGCTATGTAACTCCTTGGCCCCAAGACTCCAGCTAGAAAAAAATCAGGAAAGCCCGTGAGGAGGCAGCCGCCCAAAGTCTGGCAAGCTGCCGGCAATGCAGGAGGGAGTCCCCTTGCAGGTGCCTGAAAAGGAAGCCTTCATTATGTGTCTCCTGAGGCCAGGCGCCGAGCTCTGGCTGTTCCCATCCGTCCTCGAAGGACGGCAGGCGTGGACTGTCCATCACATTCCGCAGAGGAGGAGGCTTGGTGAGGCTCAGCGGCAGCCCCGGGCCCGTGTGTGTGTCTGCAAAGGCAGTGCCCTTCCCAGGACTTCAGTCTGGTGCCCTGTCCAGCTCTTCAGTCTGGTGCCCCTCCTCGGCCACGGGAAGAACGTTCTTTCAACCACTCCGAGGCTCCTTCTCCTTCTGCTGCCCTCAGGGTGCCCCTCTCTGTGCCCTTGGAGCCTGGCCCTCCTGTGACTCCCCCCTTTGCTTTTGGGTGGGTGCCACTCTTCTGACTGCCTCTGTGATGAGCTTTTGGGGGGGCACCGCTCCTTCCTTACATTTCTTTGGGGGAGGAGAAACATGTTTCAATAGCTCACTCTGTAATAAACAGGGGTCGCTTTATTTGGAAAATGTCAAACCCTGTAGAAGTATACAGAGTAACAGGTGGTGACTTGTTACATAGGTGTTCAAGGTGCGCTGATGGATCCATTTCCGTTTCTACTCTGGAGGAAGCGTTTACAGTTTCCTGTCCCTGAGGACTTCAGCTAGAGGGGTTTGGTGGCTCTTCTCCCCCACCCCCAAACTCTGCTCCCTGCATTTGGAGCAGCAAGGTCTGCAGCTTTAGAAGGAAAGAAGGAGCAGATGAGGGTGATGGGGAGGGAGGGAGAGCTGCTCCTGAGATCAGGCTGCCAGCAGGACTGAAACTGGCCAAGTAGCAGGTTCTCTATCCCAGGAGGCTGGTCATTATGACTCAGCAGGAGCAGGTGCCTGTGACCCTAGAGAGATCCATTTATATCCTGGTGACGGAGGGAGTGGAGGGGGGGCAGAGCCGCCGTTCGGGGAGGAAGAAATGTCTGTCCTGCTCTGTGAGCCTCATGATGTGGCAAAGACTCATCGCCCTCCCTCGGGTTGAGATTCTGGGCAAGAAATTGACTAACCGTCACATGCCCGCATATTGGAAGATTATTAGTATATGGGCTGCTGTCGTAGGGAACACTGGCACCATGTCAGGTAGTCATAACGATTTAAGGTACTAGCTGCGTGCATGACCATCCACAGAATGGGTCCATTACAGTGATTGCTCCACAACACACGGGCCCTGCTGAATTAATTTTATGTAAGTTTGTGGGTTTTCTTAAAAATTAGGTATGGTTGACATGTAACAGTAGTTTCAGGTATAAAGCGTCATGATTTGGTATTTGACTGTATCGCAAAGGGACCACCACAATAAGCACACTTCTGTCTCATGGTTGAACATTTTTTCTTATGATGAGAGCTTTAAGGTCTCCTCTCTCAGCACCTTTCACACGTGAGTTACAGAGTAATAATAACCAGTCACCATGCTGGACATCCCTGGGGCTCACTTACTTTATGATGGGAAGTTTTGACCCCCTTCACCAACTGAACTGATGTACAATCCCTGTGTGGTCCCACAGGGAAAATACAAGCAGGGTCAGGCATTGACAGTAGGTGGCAAGTCGCCCACAGAGCGCAGTCCCAGAGACCACAGGGAACCCAGCAGCCGAGGCTGAGGGTCTTTTCCTGGAGCACGTCCTGCCGGCCGAGGCTGCTCCACAGAAATTTGTCTCCTTTTGCTTAAACTCACTTCCCTGCAAGGTGACCCCACACAGGACTGTTCCAGGGCTTAGCAACTCGCAGGTCAGGAAATCCTCCCTTGCCCCAAACCTGGATGTAGCAAGAGGGATTTATTTAGATTTAAGTCCATTTCCTCTCGCTTCGGTCCTTTGTTGGCGGAACAGCTGGCCACAGGGCGGGGAGACTGGCATCTGCTCTGTTGCTGAGGTCCAGAGGGCCGGTGCCAGGGTTCTCTTTTTTTCCTCCTCTCCCATACTGAACCTCTGCACAGGAGGGGCTAAAGTTCCAGGGGTACAGACATCTTTGCAGCTCCCAGGGCCCAGCAGCTGTCATGGAAACCCACAGTGGCCTTTCTCTCTTCCACACCTTGTCGTCACCCTAAGGACCTTTTCTGGGCAGGCTGCCTTCTGCATACCCGCTGCGTATCCCCCTCTATGTGTCTGCGTCCCAAACCAGTCTTGACCACAAAGCTCTCCCTCCAGGTTTCAGCATGCAACCTTCCAGGTTCCTGGCTCAACGTGGACTCAGCCGCTCTGAAAAAGGCTCCATAGCCATTATCTGTGGGCCCACAGCGCCACCCAGTGGCAAACGTAGAGCCAGCCAGGCCCAGCTTCCCAGCTGCTCTTTTCAGGGCAGCCCTAGGAATGCAAGTTCTTTTTGGTTTCCTGCTGACTGTGCGACCCCACTAACCTGAACTTCTTTCTCCTCTACAGGTGGCTATGAGAGGTTTTCCTCTGAGTATCCAGAGTTCTGTTCCAAAACCAAGGCCCTGGCAGCCATCCCGCCCGCGGTGCCCCCCAGCACAGCCGAGTCCCTGGACCTGGGCTGCGGCTCCTGTGGGACCCCACTGCACGACCAGGTGTGTTGGGGGCTTCTGTCCAGAGGTCTGCTTTTCCGAGGCTTTCGGAGCAGTGCCTCAGTGGGGGAGAAGGGTGAACCCTGATATTGGGATGGGGTGGGATGGAAGATAGGTCAGAAATAATTCCATGTATTCCTTGGAGTTCTTGCTCTTCCTTCTCTTCGCACCCTCACTTAAGAAAGCAAGCAGTATGAAGACATAACTCCCTGACTAGCCTCTGGAGTTCTGTGCAGACAAACAAGGAGGCTGCTGAAGCGGGAAGGGTGTGCCCTGCCCCGGGGGAAGGAGCGTCTTGCGGGCCCCAGCCCAGGGCGGTCAGGCCATCCCTCTTTACAGGTCAACTGTAAATGGCCTAAGTCGGCCAGCCCTGCCCCAGAAAACCAGTGTGAACCGCTGCACTTCTTTCGAACCCACTCCTTCCCAGCCCTTTCACTGAGATGGCGGGGAGTGAACTTTCGGAGAACCGCAACCCTGCCCCCCAAATCCCAGATTCCTCCAGTTGGCCTGGCTTAGAAAACTGTCATTAATTTAAGCCCAATTTACCTAATTTTGCCAAGATCCCCCCTCTTGTCTGTGAGGCCGACATGGCATGTGTTTGATGTACTAACCGGATAAGTCCTAAAACGTACACCTGGTGATTGGCAGGTGTAAGCTCTTAATGTCATGGTGGCTCGAGCAAAGCTTCTCCTGCCCTGGCTCTCCTGCAGGTGGAGGTGTCCTGCTGAGCCCACTGCTTCCTTCAGGAGCCCCAGCAGGATGAGGGCAAACCTCCTCGAAGGGCCGGACCCACAGGCATTCCCCCCAGGGCCTGTGCAAGCTGCCTTTCCCTGCCCCAAGCACCCCAACCCTGTCCTGGTGGCTTGGCACTCGTGATCATGATGTTGGGGGCCTTTGTCTTCCTCTCTGGTGCAGGGGGGTCCGGTGGAGATCCTTCCCTTCCTCTACCTCGGCAGTGCCTACCACGCTGCCCGGAGAGACATGCTGGACGCCCTGGGGATCACGGCCCTGTTGAACGTCTCCTCTGACTGCCCCAACCACTTCGAAGGGCACTATCAGTACAAGTGCATCCCGGTGGAAGACAACCACAAGGCCGACATTAGCTCCTGGTTCATGGAAGCCATCGAGTACATTGGTAGGTTGGCCCGGGCTGGGAGCTGGGTCTGAGGCTGGGTGGGCCGATGAGAAGGCCCGCTTGCACCTGGTGTGGGGGAGGAGGGACGAAGGGGAGCTACCCGGTGCACCCATTTCCCACCCCCGATCCTCGGAGGAAGGCCTGCCTGTTGCACGTTGTGTGGTTTGTTGGGCAGGGATGGGAAGATGGATATTGCTCCCGAGCTATTGGCTTATAGAGTCAATAATCTTTAGCTTGCATGTCTGCAGGTGTCTAGATGAAAAGGCTCTTGGGATGGGAGGAAGACAAAGGGAGAATTGGGTTATTGTTTTTCTTTCTGCAAATGGAAATCCTTGAATATGTGTTAGGGTTTAGCATGCGTTTTTTCCTAGCATAGTGCCTGGGTTTGGTTAAGTCTCAAGAAACAGCCTAGCATGCATGGATTCCACAGCCCCTCCACGTGGGTTGCCCCTTCCTCCCCTTCGGTGGGAGTTCGCCCTTCTCCAAATTCTGTCTCCTCCTCCTCTGGCCCCCAAGTCTGGCTTGGGCCCCCTGCCTTGGCCTCTGGGGCAGAATCGGGACTCCCGGGGGCGGGGACACTGACGGTGCGCGCTCTCTGCCCCAGACGCGGTGAAGGAGCGCCGGGGGCGCGTGCTGGTGCACTGCCAGGCCGGCATCTCGCGCTCGGCCACCATCTGCCTGGCCTACCTGATGATGAAGAAGCGGGTGAGGCTGGAGGAGGCCTTCGAGTTCGTCAAGCAGCGACGGAGCATCATCTCGCCCAATTTCAGCTTCATGGGGCAGCTGCTGCAGTTCGAGTCGCAGGTGCTGGCCACGTCCTGCGCAGCGGAGGCCGCCAGTCCCTCCGGGCCCCTGCGTGAGCGCGGCAAGGCCACCCCCACGCCCACCTCGCAGTTCGTCTTCAGCTTCCCGGTGTCGGTGGGCGTGCACGCGGCCCCCAGCAGCCTGCCCTACCTGCACAGCCCCATCACCACCTCCCCCAGCTGTTAGGGCTGCTCTGGGACCCCAGAACCAGGGGCCTTCAGCGACCAGACCGGTGGGGGCCGCGGGCCGGCAGCCAGTCGGGACTGAACACCGTGGGGCGGGCCACCCAGCCCCTTCCCATCCACTTCTGGGCCGACCACCGGGCCGCCAGAATGGCAATAAGGACTTTGAATACATATTAAAAGCAAACAAAACCCTCCAACTTAGAGCAATAATGGCTGCCTCCGCGGGCAGGGAAGACCTTGGTTTGGTTCATGTGTCGGTTTTCCGTTTCAGATAGGAATTTATTACCTCATTTTTTTAAAGCATCAAGGCTTGAAGTTATGAGACCCACAGGTCCTGGCAAATGTGCCCACCCGGTTTTATTGCGGGGGGTGCCGAGGGGGGAGGGGGACCAGAAGAAAGCAAGTGCGCCAGAAGTGCCTGGTTCTGTGTGCTTGGCCCTGTTTTTGTTGTTGAGGTGACAGGATTTTTTCTTTGAAAGGAATCTTTGAGGACACAGTTTTTTTAAGTCACAAACACGTGGATCGTTATGCTTAATAATAAATAAAATATTTATTAAGAATTCCACAGAGTACCTAAGTCCAAGGGGTCTAGTGGCATGACTCCAGATATGTTTGTGTTGTTGTCAGCGGTAGGAAGTCGGGGGTCCCCCGGGGGGTGGACCTGCCACTGAGAGGCAGGCAGGGTGGGGGGAGGGGAGGGAGAAAGGGGCTGCTTCTCAATGACCTTCGGAGCTGGTTCCTGGGCAGGCGGCGGTCACTGAGCGATGTCAGACACACCCACACAGCCTTTTTGCTCTGATGCTCAAAAATTCAGTTTGGCGGTGGGAGCGTTTTTCTCATAGACCTGACTGAGGTCTTGTCCGTCACCTGTGATAAATGCCATATCATATTAGGTGCTCCTGAGAAAACTGGGTGCCATTCAGATTTTCCTACTGTTAATCATTTGGCAAGGCCACTGGGGACCCAGCCCACCAGAGACGCCAGAAATGAATCATTTTGTGAGTGCGAGCACCACGGTTCTCTTTTGCTGGTGCTGGAGGTTTCAGTTTTAGGGGGTTTACTGGGAATGAAGTACAACCAACACATTCCCATTCCTGGTCTAGGGGAATGTTTTCAGAGGCCCTCCTGAGTGAGAAGGGGGAGGGGACACCGCGCTGCAGGTCCCCTGCAAGTCTGGGATGGCGGGAGCGTGCGTGGGAGTCCGGTCGGACCCTTCACTTGGGAGCCGGCTGCCGGGCTTCCGTGACAGGCTTCAGGGGCACTTGGGTGTCCTCCTAGGATCCTTTCTTGGGATAATGCCATTTACGGGGCCGTACAGATGGAGAAGGACGTTTTTCTGTGGGCTGGGCTTGTGGGGAGGGCATGGGAGCAAGCTACGTGTTATTTCATTTGTAGTTTTGTGGAAGTGTTATGGAGTGCCAGATTAGAGGTGATTGCAAACTTGTGTAGAGATGAGAGCATGTTTGTTTTTTTTTTAAAGCCCTTTGAGAGTCTAGATGTAAACATTCTTGTTCACCCATCAGTAACCCCCGGCCCCAATGTCAGAGAGGTGTTGCAATGCGCTTTGTCGCCCAGGTGGTCCATCGGACCTGGTTTGTTCCATTTCCTCCTGTAAACGTGAGCCTGTGCCGTGATCATCCCTCTGGCCTTTTTTGTCAAGCCCCATCTTTGGGTGGGGCTGGAGTGCTCCCATCCCATCTTCAAGGAAAGCCCAAGGCACCCTCATCCTTGGGGAGCCTCTTGGCTGAACAGAGGTGAGGGCTGGAGGGGTCGGGGACCCGGGACAATGGAAGTATTTAGAGACAGCACAGTCGGACGTTCCCCCCTTTTCCCTTGAAGTCACTTCATGTTTTGTGATCAGGGAGGTCCAGTAGGGTCTGCAGCTGAACAAGCTATGGATTCCACCAGTGGATGGGGCCTGGGCAGAGGGGGGTGCTGGAGAGGGGAGGGAGAGTAGCCTGGGCAGATTCACTTTCTCGAACGAGTATACAGTTGCCATCACCTCTGTCTGCTGCTTTCCTGGGCTGGATTCGTAGACAGGTGGACAGTGGGAGTTCAGAATCGGCCGCAGAGAGGTCTTCCTGCTTCCAATCAGGTCTCAGCACAATGTCAGACTGTTCACTACAAAGCCATTTTTGGTGGGCTTGATAACAAACAGCCTGAGGCTCAAAACTCTTAGGAATAAAGCAGGAAATTGGCTTGATTGGCAAAGGGGGTTCCAGATGGCTATTGTCCCTTGAGAAGCCACTCTGATAACCTGGGATAGCTCTGATGAAGATGTACCCTCAGGGCCAGTCCCCGAGGCCAGTGGGTTTCAGGAGAAATCCCTCCCGTGAAGTGATTTCTGTTGATGCAAAATTTCTGTGAAGTCCTGAAAACATTGCCACTTTCACTGTTATCAATGACTGTGCTGTTGGCGACAAAAGTCCATGAACTGTGTCATCTATAGAGACCAAGGAATGCTCCAGTGTCCTTGCAGTCTTGGTGCGACCCAAGGGTGTTTGTGGAGTACTGAGGGAAATGGACTTGACTTTCCCGCAGAGCTGTGTTGGGCTGAAGTCCCCACGAGCTGGTGGCCAGGAGCTCCCAGCTTCAATCCTTCCTCTCTGAGGCCATTATCCTCAGATGCTCATTCCAGGTGGACCCCAGACAGTTTTCAACGAGGTGGGGAAGCTGGGGGGAAAATTTAAGTCCTTTGGAAGGACAGAGGGAGGTGGGACGGTCGATTCAAGTGTGACATGGGGCTGTTAGCCACTGTGCCCGTCTTAACATGGTTCACCTTGGCCACCCACTTGCATCCGTCAGGGAGCTGAGAAAACCCTGCCACCAAGCCATCCCAGACTGACGGAGCCAGGGTTTCTGGACAGGGACACAGGCCTGCTGCAGAGCCCTCCACGCGCTTTCCTGTGTAGTAACCTGCGTCGGGGAAGCTGCTGTCTGGTTCGCAAGCTGCTGTGGGGGTCTCTCTGGCGCAGCCTGGTCTCGCTTTCAGTCCCAGCTGAGTGGGGCGCCGTTTCATGCTCCCGGAAAGCTGGTCTGGGGAGCAGCGTTAGGGAACTGAGTACAGTGTCTGCCTGTTGATGTTTAACTGGGAAGTCGGGTCTATCGGGAAGAACGGAGAGCTTTGCCTCAAAGGTTCTCCTCCTGCCCCGATCGAAGGAGCAGCCTGTCGTTCCTCAGTTCCTGGGTCACAGCAGGAAGAGGCTTCTTCACAGCCCAGCAATGCAGTCCCGGGGACTTCTGTAAATAGCCCCATTTCCACAGTGATGTCATTTCTACATTTGATATGCTTGTATTTCTGTAGGATGTATATAGTGTAGGGGGTTTTTTGTTTGGTTTTGTTTTTTAGAAAAGTCAACATGTCTGTTTTTATTTATTGCCTGAAGAAATCATTTGATGAAAAATAAATACATTTTCAACCACCTGCAGCCTGGTGTGTTTGTCCTGTGCTTGGGAAGGGTGCTGCAGCGTGGACTTGGAAGGCGGGGGGCGGTCGGGCTGTTGAATAACCTGGTGTGCTCAGCGGTAGCCACGGGGAGGTCGGGCAGCTCCATGAGCCTGCTTTCGCTCTTTGCACACCGCTCAGGGGTGGCGACGGGAGGCCCGTCTAGGAGTCTCTGAGAACATGACTTCCCTGGCCCTCCCCTCTAGGGAACATTCCCCAGCGGGCTTGACATCACCACTTGCTTCCAGTAAATCTACTGAAGATCCCTGAGTTGTATGCTTCAAAAGGGGACAGTTTGTGGTATGCCAGTTATACACCAATGAAGCTGTTCAATGTTTAACACGAAAACGTGCTCACTGCCCAATATTCAAACAACGCGCATATACGAGTAAAAAGTGGGAGTTCCTCCTCCGCATCCCCACCTTGCAGCCCACGTCGTTTAGTAACCACAATGAACTTGCGGCGTAATTACTTTCTTTGACTCGTGCGTTTTATAGTGAGGCGGTTGACAGGATCTCCCCTGGTGTTCCCTGCCAATCCTGCCCTGCCCTGTTTGCTCGGCCACTTCCTCTTCCTGCCCCATGGCAGGGGAGGTGCTGGAGAACCTCGCCCTGGTCTCTCGAGTTGGGACAACGTGGTCGAGTTGGGAAGGGGTTGGCTCGGTCAGACCCTCCTGCCCCAGGCGATGGCACCCAGGTGAATCCTCAGCCGGGTCTTCTCATTTTATGTTGCACTGACCAGAATCCACACACGGTTCTCCCCCCCTTCTTAATGGCTGCATACTATTCCACAATACAGACCAATTATTTGTAAATAGTGTTAAATTTCACTTTTTATTTCGTCATCTTAAGAATGCTTTAGGACAACGATTTTCACCTCATGGCACACATAAACTGTGGCACACCAAAAAATACATAGGTATAGTTTTGATTCACACCGGATGGCTGTTACTGTGTTGGCTGTTGTTTGTTATTTGACTGCTGTGCTAGGACCCCACTAGCACTTGATTTGTAACGCCTTGAACATCTTCCAGATATCCCTATGAGGCACTTGGTGGGCAGTATTCCTCCTCAGCAGGTGTAAAAGTAGAGATGCTGACCTGCATCGAGTTTCCCCGCACCTGAGAAGCATCCAAGTGGGCCATGGCGCCGCGGTTTCCCCGACAGCTCCCGCGCCTGCGCACCCGCCGGCTTTGCATCACACACTCCGGATTTGTAAGAGGGATTACAAGAGTGAAGATGAGTAGACTTTGCAAATCAACTTGTGGCCAGAAAAAAGTATGCCAAGAATCCTATTAAAAAAATAAAAACGTTACCCACATATTCTCGTCTTATCTACATATACACATCTTACTTAAGCGGAGCTGCTTGATTAGCACGGTGACAGGTGGGAATTAGTGAAAATAAAGACATACACACCTCGTTCCACTTGCTTCTCGATCCAGGTCTTCAGGGTAGATGCCAATGCCCACAGCCTGGGGGCTTGGTCCCACCTCGATGGGAACAGATGGCATTTCATCATTCCCAACGTAGGGCCATGTGCCCCTTCAGCTGGGAGGCCTATTGTACTGTCTTATGACTAAAATCTCAAGGAAAAGTGAACCATACCAAACAGTAAAGGTTTCCAAGTGCTGCACAACCTGGTGGGCTGCCCTGAACGTGAGACCCTGGGTCACAATCACCATGGACGAATGTAGACAATGACGTTGAAAAAGTCCTTCAGAGAAAGGGGAGCACCCTGTACAGTAATAGGAACTTAGTTTTCTAGGAAGCAGTTTTCTGCAGAAAACAAATCCAATCCTGTGAGTGATTTGTAAGTTCCCCTCCCCCCGACACACACACACACACACACACACACACACACTTCCCCTGCTCCCTTCCACCTGCAGTCGTTCCAAGCTGTAAGTAAGAGCAGGCTCTTGGACTAATTCTGTACTAGTAACCAAGCCAAGTTGCCGCAATTCCGCGCTGTTTATTTTAGTGCCACTTGCTTTTTGTGCACAGTTCAGATTTCTATTTCCTAACTCAGCAATAACCAAACGGGAGCTCCCGAGTCTGGCAGTTAGAATCTGATCTCAGGAGTGGTGGTGACAGAAAGCCACGCCGTCAAGTCGCGTTTTCATTCCCGCTCACACAGCCGCACTCCACACAACGGCCAGGGGCGGTGGGGCCTGTCAGTTGGTACCTTAGTCTACAGTGCAAGGAATTCTGGGATACAGAACAAATGCCTTCGCCAGTCTGAGGACCCGTTTCTTCATCTGTAGAACGAAGGTTCAAATACCGACTTGGCAGGGTTGTTGGGAAATGTGTACAAAGCACCCGGCTCACTTTAACGGGCTCAGTGATGGCTACCGATCTTTGTGGGTGGAGAGTGCTTCCAAGTACTCAAGATGTCTTGAGACTCTGACAATCCCTCTGGCAAAGAAACTAGGTAAAATTCTAGCTTCTCACTTGCTAGCTAATGAGTCACTAGGCATGGACGAAGGAGAGGGGGACAAAAAGAAAGTTTTCTCAGTCCTGTGTACCAGGCACTGAATGACTGCCATTGCGTGAGGCAGGTGTTCTCTCTCTCTCCTCCTGTGTGACAGGGTCGGGGGTGGGGGGCAGTCTCTGGGCAACAGAGGCCGGGCAGGACCTCTGAGCTGCCCTGGTCACTGGTGTGGGGTCAGCCTCCAAGGCCTGTGCCCCTTTGTTTCAGAGATTTTTCTAAAAGGAATCCACGGTTCTGCGACTGCTGAACTTCAGTGACTCCCACGTGGGCTTCAAGGCGAGGAGAAGGCAGCTACGACACAGATCGTGCCAGACAGACAAGAGGGACCACTGTTACTTGTATTCTGACAGTTTCGGGTCAGTTGTGTTAAGGTTGGTCAGGTTGAAATGAACAAACAGGGAAATGAAAACACTTCAGAGCTAAGTGCTGTCCACATAAAGGATACTTTAAAAATGTTTTTATTGAATATTAAACAATTACAAGTACTGTAGTTAGACATTTAGCCAAAGCACAATTACAGGTTAAATATAATCAGAAAGATGCCTTAAATAGGAGCCCACCATGCAGGCAGGTTAAGCCCCTCAGTGCCCTCTCTCGGAACACGAGGGTGACGGAGAACTGGTCTTCCACTCCACATGGAAGATCATGAAGACGCAAAGGATTTGCATGCTGTCAGCGATTTCCCATGACCAAATCGATAGGGTTGCCAGACTTAATAAAATAAAATGAAGCAAAACAAAACAAAAACAAACAACCCAGGCTGCTCAAATTTGAAGTTCAAATAAATAAGAATTTTTTTTTATTGTAAATATATGGCAGGTAATGCATGAAACATGGTTAAGCTAAAAAATTAGTTACCTAACGGTCGAATTTAACTGGCTGTTGTGGATTCTATCTGGCAATCCTACAAATAGACAAATGCAGAAAAGAAACAGGAGGGGACTGAAACCCCCTGCCACTGGTGGGTCACACAGAGACTAAAAATTAAAGAAAAACAAACACCACACCACCAAGAATGAACCAGAGTCCACCACACTGGTTACTACACAGACCGACAACACAATGAGAAAGTACAAGGACTACGCCAAACGCCGGGGCCGGGAAACCATCGCGGTTTCCTCCACGCTGGTTCTGTCAATGCTGAGAAACCTTGCTGATAAAAGTACCTTTTTAGTGTGTAGGTATCAAAGACAAACACTACTATCACAAAGACAGGATGAACTCGACACAATGGAAGCAGTAGCAGGCATTATATATGCACGTGACGAGTTGAAGCACTGTGTGCCATGGATACAAGGGTTCTATAGTCAGGGTCTTCATCTTCCAGGTCTAGGCTACCGGCCTCGAAGATCTGGGTTGCTTTCTGATTTTCACTGTTGTGTTTTCTAGCTTTGAATCCCGAACCTTGGGAGGGCCGCAGGAGTGAGTACGGGACACCCCACCTTCAGTTTAACTGCATTTCCCCGCAAACACTTTCAGGGGTCTGCAGAAATGGGCACAGAGATGAAAACTGACAGAACAATCTGAATTCTGGAGAAGGAGAAATCTGTTTGAAAAGATGGGTGGCGGGGTGGGTGTGGAGATGGGAGAGTGTGAAGCGGAAAAGGAAGCCTGAAAGGATGAGGAGCCAAATGTAAGCATCCCGACAGTGCGAATGTTGTTTCCTTAGAGGCAGAGCCCTGGGCAGACGACGGAGCCTTCAGGCAGATGACAGAGCCCTCGGGCAGACGTCGGAGCCCTGGCGCCTCTTGGAGCTCTTCCCGGATCACCACGGTCTATGTTTTAAAATGATTAAAAAACAGCTTGTGCAACACTCGGATGATACAGGGTATCACTTTGTGAATTGTTGCTGCCTCCCCACATACACAAAACTTAACAGGTTTTAAAATTCTGTCTGGCATTTCTCCTCCAAACCAGATGATCTGGTGGCTGGGGAATTTCAGACAGACAGAGCGTCGTGGGCTGATCCTATCTGCTCCTCTGCAGGTGAGAGAGCGTGACTTGAGAAGTGCACCCTCATCAAAAAAGCACGCCTGGTGTGATGCACACGAAGCTGTACCTGGCTCGCTGACACACCTTTCAAACACTAAGAAACGGAATGACAACTTATTAGGATATAAAAGGTTAAAAAGTTTCTGCCATAGTTAAGGCTTTCTGAAGAATATTTAATTTTCTATCAATGTCAGAATCCACAAAGTATCTGAAGAAGCCTCATCTTTAAGGGTCATTTAAAAAAATGCATTTCCTCGTCATACGCTAGATGAGTCCAAGTGGAGCTGAAACGTTATCTTCACAATGACTTTGTTCATTCCTGTCGCTGATTTGACATCAAACAAGTTTAGTTTTAGTCTTGAAATGAGTTTCTAACACATGAAACTCTGTATTAATGTCAGTTCTTAGTGTTCCCTGAATGACTAAAACCTTTTTCACTCTGCAAGATAACAGCCCAAAGGACATGTGTCACAGCTCGAGCACTTTCGGTGAGAAGGCCATTTATCGCTGATTATCATACACACGGGGGAGGGCACACGGGGGGAAGGCGCTTCCGACCCACGCTGCTGCTGTTTCAAAGACCGTGCGCGCAGGCCAGAGAGCACAGCTACTTAAAAAGACGGCGAGCAGCATCCGACGGACACCGCACAACTGGGAGACAAAGTAACGAGAGAGAAGAACCGGGCCCGCTCAGTGCGGTCTAACGCTCTCCTTCCGGGGCACACCCATTTTTTGTATAGAGGTTATGGTTACGGAACATTAATCCATACGACTTTATTTGCCATGTTCAGGCATTGCTGTATGTAACTCAATGCACTCTGCTACTTTAGAGCAGAGGGAAATTAGTTTAACCACTACCATGGGCTCAGAGGAGCAAAAGGGTGCTATTTCCTGAAAACATTCTAGTATTGTTTATTCTACTTATTTGATTGAAAAGCTAGAAATCCCAAATTCCACACACACACAAAAAAAGGTAAATAAAAGCCCCGCCGTGCTGCTGTTATTTTCCTCAGAGGTACAACTCTGGTCCCGTGCTGTCGCTGGTTAACGGCGCGCCAGAATCTTCCGGGCAGAGCACTGGGGGCCGAATGCCTGGTTCTGGCTGTGATACAGAATTGGAGGGAGGGTCTCCTTTTGCAAGACTCAAAGTGAAGAAAGCAGGAAAACGAGGGGGTCAAAGGTAAATGTCGGAGCTATTTATAATCCCACACTAGCAACCTGCGGAAAAGGGAAGGAGGTGTCCAGTCCAGGGCACTTAACTTACGCCTGACTCTAGCAGCACCTAGCAAACTGGGCCCACCCTGCCCAGAGCCCTGTGGTCTCAGTACTGCGGGAGGCTGGCGGCTGTGGCCAGACTCTACCACTCCGCGTGGGGAACAGAGGGCCCAGCCCCGGCAGGCCACGCTGGAAGTCCTCGGCTTGCTCGTGTTTCCGTATAGTGCAAATGCGAGAACTTATGTGGATTTCAGCCCAATTCAGTGCCATGCTTTCACATGCCAGAGGGTTTTTCGAATTGCTGTAGATGCAAATTCCAAACGTAGTCAACTTTTGCTCATTTGAGTGCACTCAGGATGACCTTTGGTTTTCAAGTTTTGGGTGAAAAAATGTATCTGGCTCCTATGAGATATCAATTAACCCACTCTCCTTAGCAGATGAGTAACACGTACACATTCTCCCAAGAACTGTTATATGCTTGAATTACTAAAGGACAAGCAGCACCGCGGGTGTCTCCCTTACACAGTACCTTACTCGGCACACGGAACGCATGGCACACAACACGGGCAGTGTACATACTGAAGCATGGTTTCACTTTTCAAGTGTGAGGCTGAAGTTCACAACCGGCACACACATTACTCCAGTTAGCATGACGGCAGTGACACACGGCCACAGGTGGGGAGTGGCTTTTGGTACCTACACTACATTAACTCTTTCTTAACTAAAAATCACAGCCATGGTTATTTACCATCTTGAACTATATCTAAGTGAGGAGGCATGTAATACACACTTTCACAGCGACCGAAAACTACACAGAATGCCAGTGCCTTCAACCCAGTGTTACAGCTCAACAGAAAAGGAAGAAAGGGGGGGAAAGCCCTCGCAATGACTATCCAACTTCGAAGCTTCATGTGGAATTCTAGTGCTAGTGAACAAGCGGCCAAGACACAAACACCAGCGTGGGCCACGGACACTTCAACGGAAGCAAACACTGAGGCTAATTCTCGACTGAATTCTGAGGACCCATGCAAGACTCAGCTATGAAACTCACTCTAGTTCCCAATGCCTAGTTCTAGCAATGGACTCGAGCCAGAGAGAAAGCAAGATGTGTCATTTTAAGAGCCTATTATAGAGTTTTGCATGTAACTACTTTATTTTTATTTAGGCGACTAAATAAGGTCATCGCTTGACCAGCCTGTATTAAAAAACAAACAACCTGTTTTCAGGACTTTAAGGCGAAACGCCAGGTTTGCGCCACACTGGTTTCTTGACACCACATACTTCTTCTGCCTCCAAGCTGAGTAGGCACGCAGCACGTCAGAGTGAATGGATGCGCCCGATTCGACATTCAGGGAAAAGGGAGGGTGGAAGAGCTGCAACGGATAACGCGTCACAAGTATCGATGTGCACTTGGCAATGGTGATTAAAACAAGCAAAACAAAGTGGTGATTTCATGAAGTAACAGTAAGGTTTAAAAAAGTAACTGAAAGAGCTTTGGTTTCAAGTTTTTGTTCTCCTTGTCTATTAAGCTGTTTGAAAAAATGGATCAAAAATTCAGTGCAGGGACCTACATAAACTATTGGAAGCACCTCACTCAAAATGACCCCCGAATCTGGAATAAACAAAAAGTCCTTGTATTTGTGCCCATCTATCTACTGAACAGGATTCAAATCCTAGCTTTCTAAGCCATAGAAACAATAAAGTAAAATTTGTGTGACTCCAATGAAGTACAACAGTTTGACTGAATTTGGAAATAAGGCAGCTAATCTGGGGGGCGACACTCTGGGGGAGCACATTTGCGAGAGAAGGTGCCCGAGGAGTCCCCACAGGCCTTCCTGCCGCAACATCCAGACCCGCCTGCTCTGCGCACGTGCTCCTTGGCTTCTCCTTCCCAGCCCTCCCGCGCAGTCTGGCCTCTGAGGCTGACCGCAGCACCGCCCAAACCTCCCCCCCTGGCTCCTGGGGCTCCCACACTCCTGGCTGCAGGAGGGAGAGAGCAAGAGCCTCTGCCTTCTCTGAGCTTGGGAGTTCCTAAGTCAGGCTGATGTTTGTGCCTTTCCCTTGTCAGACTGGCCAGTTAATAAAAGGACGGAAACTTGATGGTTTTTCTTTCCATCTCAATTTATGTTTATAAGAAGTACAGATATGAAATAAATCAAAGTGGAAAAAGGGTGGAAACTAGTCTTGCTCAGCCAGAAGCCTGGGTTGCGTTGCTACTGATTTTAGTCTGTGTGACTTTGTGCAAAGTGTCCTTGAGAAGGCTCTCTGGCTCATCATCAAAGAAGAACAACAACAAAAAAGCCGATGACGCATGTTTAGGAAAAACCGAAAATGGCCCTGGGTATGCGTACTTGTTATATACATGTGCCATATATAACAAAGCAAAGCAAATGTAGTGTGTGAATGGTGAACATTTGGAAAAGTATTGGTTATGTTTTCTTTCTCTCCATTTCCAAGTTTAGATCAAAGCAGTCTTACTTTAGAAACGGATAATTGCAATGGAAGTGAGCCTGAGATATATTAAAAGGCCGCCCCTGTAAACATTTCCTCAAAGGGAACAGCAGCAGTTGAGTATGTATCAGTTACTCATACTACAGTCATCACTAGAGCAATGCTTCGTAAGACAGACAGCTTGTTCTAGGCTGTCGGGGATTTAGAGAATATCAGCTTTGTTGGAAACGATCCGTTACACTCCAGTCCCAGGTTGGAATCCGATCTGGCCTGCACCGGGGGGCATTCACTAGGTCTTCTGCTCTGCGGCCGTTGCAGTCTGTGAAGGAGCCTCCGGCTTCATGATCTGGTAAGTGATGAGATACTCCGGGTAGGCCTGCGAGGGACAGGAAGAGAAGCGGGTGACCCTGAGGGCAGCCACAGCAGGAAAGCCTCAGAGGCTGCTGCTTCTAACCGGTGTTCTACTGCATTTGCTCAGGCATATAAATGAACTAACGATCAAATCACCTCTTTATGTTGATTACATTAATACAAATTTCTAGAAGTAGAATTACTAAGTCAAAGCATTTACCCAGAAGTCTGGAGTTTCTAATTTAAAAATGAAGTCTGGAGTTTCTAACTTAAAAATTTGACACGTTTATTTCCACTTTTTATTTGGAAACAAATGGAAACTTACACATTAAGTTGCAGAAATGAAAGTGGTACCCAAAACAACTGTACACCCTTTGCCCACATACCTGTAGTGTTAAGGCCTTATTTATCCCATTTCCTTTATTACGTGTGCTTCCCCTTCCTCTGCATATACCAGGCAGACAGACAGATGGACAGATTCACCAACACATTTTCGCCCAAACCATTTGTCAGTGAGTTTGCTATATGTGTATGTATGTGTGTCTATATACATATATATATATATATCATGATTCTTTATATATGCCCATATTTATTCCCTAAGAATAGGGATATTCTCTTAAGCAAGCCCAGGATCAACCTTGTAATTTTATACTGATAGACTTTTACCTAACTACATTCACATTCCAATTGTGTCCAGTGACCTAATAATGTCCTTTTCCTTCGTACCAGAGCCGAATCGGGGGGCAGGACATTCAGTTAGTTGTCTCTTGAGTTTCATTTAATCTGGAGATTTCCAAACCTTTCTTTGTCTTTTATAACAGTGACATTTTTGAAGACTCCAGTCTTCCCACGTTTTTTATAAACAGAACACCGCTCGTCCTGCTGAGACTGGGGTTATGCAGCTTTTGGCCGGAATGCTACACGGATGCGGTGCCCGGCTCCCAACACCACACCGGAGGCGCGCTCCGCGTCTCCCTGTCCCTCACGGCGCCGCGAACTCTGACCACCGGATCGGGTATCGCTCCCCTTCTCCAACGTGTAACTGCTGTGATTTCTCCCGCCTTTCTAACTCATGAGAAGACCATGAAAATATCCTTTTCCTTGTCGAAAGTATCCCCTGAATTTAGCATCCACCGATGATTCTCGCCTGATGAAATTTTTACCAGGACGGGTGCAGGATGATGGTCTCCCAGACCCAGTTCTGCCTCCACATCGACCCCTGTGCCCCCCTCGGCTTCCTCCTGTAAGCACAAGCCTCACCTTGCCCTCCACTTGTTTATCTAGTTATCTTCAGAATGATGAATTTCTATTTTCCCCCCGATGGTTTAAAGTTTATTACTGTGCTTATTTGGTGCTCAACCAGATTTGGCCAGTGGAGTCCCTTCAAGCTGGCTCGGGGTCCTTGGGACATGCCCCATCTTTTTTTTTCTTTGAGTACTTCATTACTTAGCTACTTTTTTGCATGCTAGATGTTCCAGGCTTACCTGTTCCTACTCTGCTCCATCCCTGGAATTAGCTAGTTTCCCACAGAGCCTGGATCCTTCCCATGGGGAATGGTATTAGAGACCAAGATTTGAGCTCTAGGTGTATTCGCTGCTATGGGCGATTCTTTGCTCTCAGCAGACAAATACATGCGCATACACTCATATGCATACACATGCTTGTATCGCTCTTACACATAAACCCATACATACACCTATGCACACGTGTACATACATAACACATATTAGACACCATGGGTTCACATCAACACCTCCAATCTCAGTCTACCCCTTATCTTCCCCCATTCCACACGCCTGTCCCTTCCTCGACAGTGACAAAGCCAGCTCCCCAAACCAACCCTATGATACACCTAACAGGGGTCGCCACTTTGCCACACCACCACAGTCCACACTTTTACTCCAGGGGGGTCTGACCTGCACCCGCGTGCAGCCCAGGATGGCTATGAATTGGCCCGACAGAAAATCGTGAATTAACATAAAACATTATGAAACTTTTTTTGTGATTCTGTGTTGTAATACATTCAATGTGTGGCCCAAGACGGCTCTTCTTCCAATGTGGAGCCCAAAGAGGGGTCCAACCCAAAAGGTTGGACGCTCCTGCAGTTCAGGACTTGTTTCCAGTTCTTCCCCCGACAGCACACCTCGCCTGGCAAAGACTGAAGGCATGTAAGAAAATACTGTTTCCACAGATTAGTTGTATTTAATTTCTTATTTCTCCTCATGTCTTTACCGTTAGTAAAGTTAGTAACCATTTGAAATTCAATTAAGTATAGACAAATTGTTTTGTTTTTAGAAAAATTGGTAGGTATTTAGCAGTATAGTGAAAATTAAGTACTGGGCTGAAACTGATGGGAAGTTTTCCTGCTTGTTGACAATTTTGTTTTGGAGCCTCAAGCTGTTGGCAGAATTCAATGTGCCGTAGCCGTCCGACTCTGAGAGCTGTCGTTCTGTGTGAGCTCCGCGATCAGATGCACTTAAGGCCCCTGACTCAGGGTGCTGACTGTGCAGAAGGGGCACACCAGCAGAAACTGTACTTTCAGTTTTGATCTTTCCCCAGCTAGTGCCACATGGGACAACACTCTCTCGTGACGCTCGGCAGAGGCAGCCAGAGCTCGAGGTCACCCACAGGTTCCGGGGGGAAACAACCCACGCCCTCCGGCGCACTGTGCTGCTGGGGTGTTCTGGCTACTGTTTGCACATTCGCCGCATCCACAGGACACCCGTCTGTGCTGGTTGTGCACAACGGTGAGTTTAAACTGTTCTGTTTTCACTTACAGCGCAGTGCTCAATAGACTGCACGAGCTATTAATACCATACCATAAAATAAGGTTTCTGTTAGATTATTTTGCCCAACTGTGGGCTAATGTAAGTCTTCTGAATGTTGAAGATAGGCTAGGCTGCCCTGGCTGGTGTGGCTCAGTGGACTGAGCACCGGCCTGCAAAGTAAAAGGTTGCCGGTTTGATTCCTGGTTGCGGGCCAGGCCCCCAGTTGGGGCTGTGTAGCCAGTCACTGTTTTGTCCCTTTGTTTATCCCTCCCTTCCTTTCTCTCTAAAAATAAGTAAGATCTAAAAAAAAGAAAAGGCTAGGCTAAGCTACAGAGTTCAATAGGTTAGGTGTACTAAATGTTTTTTTGACTTACAATATTTTCAACTTATGGGTTTATTGGAATGTAACCCCATTGTAAGGTGAGGAGTATCTGTACATAGATTCACTCATGTGACCATCTTGTGGCAAGTACAGCCACGAAGAAGGTCCCCTCCAAGGCAGCTGCTCCTAGCTCTTCACTGCCATGCTGGGGCAGGAGGACACAGAGCATTAGTTCGGAAGAGCATGCCTCAAGAGCAGCATGAGGTCCCACACCTGACTTCTTAGATGCCCCTCTCGTTTACACTGTTACTTGGCTGACAGGTGACTGATGGATTGGTTCTGTGTGTAAAGCTGATGTCAAAGAATTTAGATATCTTCATTTTGACCTGAAACAACTAATACTATCAGAAGTACAATAGATATACATTTTTTATTTTTTTATCTTAGAGAGGAAGGGAAGGAGAAAGAGAAGGAGAGAAACATCACTGTGTGATTGCCTTTCTTGCGTCCTCTACTGGAGACCTGCAACCCAGGCATGTGCCCTGACTGGGAATTGAACCAGAGCCTTTCAGTTCACAGGCCAGCACTCACTCCACCGAGCTACACCAGCCAGGGCTGCAGTAGGTACTTTATCAAATGGCTTTCTTTAACTCTTACATGGTCTCCATACTCTGCACGGGCATGTTCAGTCACTCCGCGCTCACCTGGGGAGTGCCATACCTGTTCTCCTCTGTAGATGACGTACTCCGCATATGCCAGTCCATTCACACTCGGCCTCCCAATAACCGAGTGATGCCCCGGGGGGGCGTGAGCCATTTTCATGGTGCTGAATTGCAGAAAGGATTTTCCGAGGGTCACTCTACAGAAAAGCATTTGTCTAAAGAAAAGAGGAAAGAAAGCAGTATTTTGAAGGAAGCTTTAAATCTTGAACTGATATAATTGTTAGGTTTACTGATTTAAAAATATCTTAACACAAGACAGGTTAATTTAAATGCCCCTTTCATATTTACGAGCAGGATGGGTGAGATGTGATATACTGATTTACCATAAACAGTAGGCTCAACAGTGACCCTTGAAGTTGGAAGTAGTTTTGGTGTGGTTTGGAAACCAATCGCAAAAAATACCTGGTATGTTTTGACCAGTGGAAAAAGAAAAATACTAGTGAAAACCGAGTTTTTGTACGGAAGGACAGGAATAAACGAGCAAATGGCAAGAGCATCTGAAATGAAGACTTGGTTTCACTCAAGAGGAGGTAAAAAACCGGATGAGAAAAACAAGAGTAAGAGTGGGCCACACACAAAGAATGCTTGCTTAAACATAGACTGAAAATGACACTATTGGGGTGAAACACGAACTGGGGGCAGAATGAAGTACTACAGAGGAGAAGGCTGCCGGGAAGAAAGTGTGCTAAATCGGCTGGGGGTGGCTGCATAGGCAACCTTCGGCCCAAGGGCCGGATCTGGTCTGCCACCTGGTCTGCCGGATCAGTTTCTGCTAATGACATTGTACTGACACTGTCCACACACACATTTACATACCGTTTATGGCTGCTTTTGCACTGCAGGGCAGAGCTGAGTCACTGGGACAGGGATCCTACGGCCTGCAAGGCCTGCTAAGCCTGAAATCATCCTGGGCCTTCAAAGTTCATTGACTCAATATAAACCATACACATTTAAACTAAACAGTAAGATAGCCTCACTGCTAAAGGTGCTAGTTTTTATGCAAACAGTTTGCTTTTAGTAATGGAGTGCGACCTTGGCAATATGACTGATCAGAGAGTATTTTCAGTGAAATGAAAATCATGCCACGCCCAGCAGAATGAGGTTCTGGCTGAGGTGGCTGTCTCAGGGGGATGCTACTGGCCCTCTGCGAGGCGGCCCGGCTGCAGCTGCATTCCCCTCTTGGACCCGGAGGAAAGGGTTTTGATCAAAACCAGGAGGCTTTCTGAGCTCCGCGCCCACACTGTGGGCAGCATTACGGCACCACCAGACTCTGCCTGCTCGGCTGGCTGGCCCAGTGCCACGGCCTCTGCCAGTCCGTATGTCACACACAGCCTGACCAGACAGGCCTTGCCTCCTGCCTCCGCTCCCTGCCGCAGGGCTTTGCAGCGGCTGTGGAGGTGGGGGAAGCAACAGGAGCCGTCCCTCGGCCCATGAGGCTGCAGGTTCTAGTGCTCAGGCGGAGAGTGCCGGCCCAGCCTGCTCACCAGCTTGCCTTGTGCACTGCCACGCATCCCTCAGATGCATTGCCCCAAAGTGCGGGGGAGGTGCCAGTGCTGACTAGTGCAAGACAGGAGCCGGAGGGTAAGTTCGTCTCTCCTCTCCCACCATGTACTGCTGGGCCACGGATTACTTCACGGAACTTCTCTGAAGATGTCACGCGGACTGAGCAACCAGTCGTGCTGGTCCCGAGGCTGTGGCTAGTTCCTGATGAGCCTCAGTCTGTTCTTCCTCCTGACCTCACTTCCTTTTATGACCTCACTTCCTTTCACGCCCTCACTCCTGCTTCCCTGCCGCTGCACTTGCCAAGAAGGTGCCAGTATCTAAGCTTCTGCTTCGGGCTCTGTTTTCTGGGGAATCCTGGCTAAGACACAAACCTGTGTTTCTAATTTTAATGGGCAGCTGTTCAACTTCATCTAGGTTCACTTTTATTGCTTTTTCCAATTCATTTTGTTTCCAGAGGTGTTAGGTTTGAAGCAACAAAGAGAAACTTTTGCATTTACATATTCTTGGGAATTTTTGTGTGTTACTAACCACAACAGAAAATAAACTTCCTTCTGGACGTCTGGCATCCATATTAGAACTGCCGATGGCTATAGTTTGTTTCTGCATAACTGACAGCGGTAAGTTTCAAGGTCAACAATTATGATGAGTTTTAAGGTTATATAGGTCTTTTTCTGAGATTTTAATTGAATTACAAGGTTTGTTATTAAACCAGCTTTGCAAAAATAATGTATCTGGTTAATTTAAAGAGAAATGCAATAAACTGCAGTGTTTGAAAATACAATTCTGTGTATTTTTTCTACTGGCGGGAAATGGAATAGGGAAAGGAATTATTTTTTTCACTGATTTCAGAGAGTATACTATGCTTCTCTTCAATTTTTGAGTTTTAAAATCATATTTAAAAAGCTAATATTCATTTTTTAATAATTCTGAAGTTAATATTCCAAAGTTGGATTTTTAAGGCCAATTATATATCCTGTCTTAAAATACCACAAGCAGTATCAGAAGCACGTTAAAGATTCTACTTATTTTTAGAGAGAGGGGAAGGAAGGGAGAAACAGAGAGAAACATCACTGGGTGGTTGCCTCCAACGTGGCCCACACTGGGAGCCTGGCCCACAACCCAGGCATGTGCCCTGACTGGGAATGGGACAGCGACATTAGAGAAGACATGCATCTTAGTTCCGATGTGACTCTCTAGCCAGACAGCTCTGTTCTAAAGAAATAATTCCCACCCCTTTCTTACACCGAATCAGAAGCAAGAAGTATGAAGCCCGGAGAAAACGCCCAAGTGGAGGGCGTTTCCCTGTGATCTGTGACTGGCTGACTGCGTCCAGTTCTGATCACCACTGGTGCCAGCAGCCTGCTGTCACCGGCACTGTCAGGGTGCAGGCTGGTAAAAGGACCACTCCCACCCAGTCCCCAAGGTGCCTGACTCATTAGGGCTGAGACTGCTGGTAAGCTGGGACTCGTGCAGAGCCTGGGAAGCAGCCCCGTGCTCACCTGTGACATATATAACACGACCGATCTTTGTGTGTGGGGCAGCCTGTTCCTCCTCCGATCCCATAAACGTACTGGTTGCTTTTAGAGGAGTTTTCTGCAAAATAAATCCCAGCACCAAACATTCCTCCTATGTATGCATGCCGTTCATCAAACCCTTTATGAATAATAGCATTAATGAAAGGAGAACCTAAAAATATAATGATAGAAAAATTAGTTTTTGAACACTTTTCTGGAATATCAATTAGCTATGTACTGGTTGCACTTAGCAGATTGATATTAAGTAATCAATAATACATAATCGAAACATTTACTTTGCAAGATGTCTATTATACATAAATTATCACATACTAGAATCTCATCAAGGACCTACAGTGCTCACCAAGCAAAGATGTTACCTTGCAGATGGCATGAGATTTTAGACAGCAAAGTACACTGTGGCTTTGAAAATACAGATGATTTTATACCCAATCTTACTTTAAGCAAGTACAGACCATCTGATAAACTAAAAGGATTACGCCAAAGAAAATAAAACATATTTCATTCTCTAGATGGCTCAACTGACAATTTAAGTTCTGAAAAAATTTCAGATGATTTGTTTTCATTGTATATGCCTTGAAAAGCCTGTACAAGGCACGAGAGAGCTGGTACCAGCATGTAATTTCCTGGAAAAACCCCAAACGAACCCTGTTTAACACAACACCACCGCGGGCACCGACACAGGCCTTCCCTCGGGTGGGTGGGCACGAGCCCACAGCTGCCGCGACCGCCGGCCGCCGGGACACTCACCGTGGAACAACATGCGCTCGTTGTGATGGTTGTGGTTCTCTTCCGACACTTCCTTCTGTCTGTGACAGAATCGTTCCCTCAACTTCTTGTTGACAACTTTTTGAATCTTTAAGAATGAGGAGGAAAAAAGCAATTGAGTGTAATGTATGTTAACTGGCAGTTATGATTTAAAATAGAAGGTATGTTTTCCTTGAGGAAGATCCAGTTTTTGTCTTGTTTGCTTAAAACATTGTTTAAAAATGATAAAGTTGCCGGGTCAGTATAATTCAGTTAAACCCTGGCTTTTAGTGACCTAATTTTCAGGTAAGGTTTTTGCCTGTTAGTCTACACCAGACCTGGCTACGTATATGCCTCAGTTACCTGAGGAGTTAAAATAGAAAAAAAGAGACGGAGAAGGCTGCTCCTGGACTCCTCCCCAGACTTCCTGAATTTTGGAACACAGGGCCTGTACGCCCGTAGCTTGCCAAAGGCCCCCCGGGGAATTCTGACGAGCACTAGTACGCCCTCCACCGGTCCCTTAACCCAAAGGATGAAATCAATCAGTTCTCAACAGGCTTCACTCATCTTCACGATACCCCTTTGAAAGAAAGCACGGAGCAGCCAGCCACCCCATATCATTAAGAGACTGAGATGAGGAGCCCTCTGCACTCTGACATAATCACTGACTCACTCAGTGAAAAACTCCAGGCCTCTAATGCTACTCTGAAGTGGTGATAATACAAACTACCGTCGACTACGGTCTGAATTTACGGATGAGCTGGGAGTCTCATCGCCAGGCCGGCCTCGCCGATGCCTGCGGACCTGCCTCCTGCGGGCAGCTTCGGCATTTTCTGGGGGTCTCTACTTCTGGTGGGTGTGGTCTCAAGGGGTTAAAGACCACAGGGGTGAAGAGGGTGACACCTGACCGCAGGGCCGGGTGAACGGCCGCCCGAGTCTGAGAACAGGACTTCGACACACAATTTTTCACTGTTCACATTTGATCTTCAGGAAGGCTCGCAATCGAATTTCACCCTAAAAACTTACTCGGATGACGTTGTATCTGTTGAAGATACCTCCAGCATTACCGCCATCTCGGTGTTCTCGAATTGTGCTTTGCATCTACAGAATACAATTTAAAAGTAATTAACTTTCAGAAAATATGCAAGTGCATAATTCTAAAGACACTCCTTCCGTTGTTTTCAACATTTCGATTCTACTACGCTGTTTCACTGATGAGCCCAAGGTGTGGTGTTTCTAAATAAATACAAGTCCACCACACTGATCAACACGTTCAGCAGACACGCGTATCTGGTGAGAAAACAGCCATACATGTAAATCTTAATCATCTGCCTTTCTTTTTATTTTCTAATAAAAGCCTGGGAAGATTTTGTAAACACAGCCTGTGACGTCGTTCCCATCACTGTCTGGAGTCCCTGGGAATGGGAGCGCTGCTGGGACTAAGTCAAACAGAAGCTCCCCATGTTCACTGGAGACCCACTGGGCAAATGGGAAAACAAAGGTTTTTATAAACCGATAAATTTTTGTTCCTGAGGTGAAATATTCCATATTATCTCTTTAATTTGGAAGCTCCAAGTATGTCTACAAAGACCAGGAATATTTTTCTTCCTCCACTTTCCAAATTAAAAAGAGTTACTACGGAAAAGTAAAATGTTTGAAGACCTAAGTTCTCATAGAATTGACTCAAAGAGTTAATCCTCTGCCACTCCGTTATGGACTCACTTGGCACATTTTAGCATCATTATTGGAATCTACCAACCACTACGAGCTGAGGCAGCAGGACACTAGAAAACATGATGCTTTCCTGAAAAACTGGCCATGAGCTCCCACATCAGCCCCCTCAGGGAACTGTCCTGAGCTTCCAGAGCCAGGAGAACACGAGCACTAATTAAAAACAAACAGAAACGCAGGCACGCTTCTCCGCACAGAACGATGCCATTGGGCACTTTGTTTATTTACTGTGCCAGAAGCAAGGCAGGAGCTTGGAGCAGAGAGGGTGTCGCTGTGGCATCTGTCTCCCTGAGATGCACACCACTCGCCTGACTGAGGTGGCTCTTGAGTCACCGAGCCGGGTGAGACAGAAGGCAGCTCGAGGTATGAGGCGTGCTTGCTAATAAGCCCACGTAAAAACTGGGCACATCCCTTTACACCCATGTTTTATAGTGCGGCACAGAAATCAAGATGAGACTCTCCTTGCTATCTATGAGGCAAGATTCTCACTCCACACCACTCTCAGGTAGCACTTTAGCAACATAAAAAGGTAATTCTAATAGGGTCATTACTTGCATGAGTTTCAAGAATGTCTCCAGAATAAAAGGACAGGTCTGACCCAGCCACTGGAAACCTCAGACTTACGATGTGAAGCCACGTGGCCCAGCTGCAGTCCACGTCCTACCTGAACTGTGGCGATTTTCCACCATGGTGGCTACGGGAGGCAGAGTAATACACAGGCAAGTGACCAGAAGCTGAAGTAAGACAAGCTTACCTCTCCTGGAAAACAAGTCTAACCACAGATTTCAGGAAAAGATGACTGAACATTCTGATGTACATTACCTCTTCTTCTACTGACTGATACTCCTTATCCTCTGGAGCAAGATCCAGCAAAATAGTTCCCTGGTTAACACAGTGGAAAGTCAAATAAGGGTTGGTTCCTGTAGAAAAGAAAAATGAACATGGTTAACAGTATAGCACTAAGAAGTCCACACTATTCAGGCTCTATTTTAGGGAAAACTTTGTCACAAATAATCGATATTTTGGAACAAGTATAAACTATTTTTCAATTTGAACCCAATACACAAAGTTATATAAACAAGTAAATCCAAAGGAATGTGAAGTAATGGAGGAGTGTTAAAGATTTTAAATTTATTTTATTTTTAGATGCTGGGGAAAAGAGTGATAGGGAGGGAGGGGAACATCAATGTGTGGCTTCCTCTTGCATGGCCCCCTACTGGGGACCTGGCCCACAACCCAGGCACATGCTCTGACTAGGAATCGAACCAGCGACTCTTTGGTTTGCAGGCCGATGCTCAATCCACTGAGCTACACCAGCCAGGGCAATTTTATTGGTTCTCAAAGAGTTCCTTGTATGCACAGCAGGGCTCAACAATTATTTCACAAACTAAATTTAATCAAACCAAAGTTTAATGAACATTCTTAAAGCAATGTTTAATACAACAGAGAAACACACTGCAATTACTCTGTAGTCTGGTCTAAAATCTCTGTGCGATGGCTTGAAATAGTCACCTAATATGTTTAAAATATATTATTCTTGTTAATTTCATTATCCTTCTACATTTAATACAGATAAGTAAGCAAGACTCAAGTTCAAAACCTGCTAATGTTTAGTTTCATGTCATTCTTGCATTTTATTAGCTCTGCAGACTAACTGACTAATTCAAGTTGTTCTCCTTCCCTCCTCTGGCTTTTCTACAGTAAAAGCACTTCCATAGATGGATCTGGAGACCACTGTGCCAAGTGAAATAAGCCAGTCAGAGAAAGACAAATACCACATGATTTCACTCATATGTGGAATCTAATGAACAAACTGAATTAACAAGCAAAACAGAGACAGACTCAGCAGGATGACAGCTACGGCAGGGGGTCAGGGAGTGGAGGGAACGAGCAGAAAGGAAAAAAGACACATAGACACGGACGACAATGTGGTGATTGCAGGGTTGGAGGGATATGAGGCCACTAAACGGCAATGGAAAAAATAGAATAAAATATAAATTAAAACAGAAAAACAAACAGAGAAATGAGAAACACAGAGACATGAGGTCTGTCTGGAAAAAGTCCAGCCATTGTTAATATAATGAGAACAATTTACACAACATCAATGTAACCTGGCAGCCAAGAAGAGAGGACTGGAATGCACATGTGTGAACAATGACGACTTCACTGTACTCGTCGGTGGGGCTGGTAGACACCATTGAGTGAGCATGTGCACTGTGTGGCCATCACATTCAAAATGACTGAGCAAGCAGAGCAACAAATCTGCATCAGATTTTGTGTTAAGCTTGAATATTCCTCCACAGAAACTACTCCAGTGATTCAGAAGGCCACAGGTACATGCAACTGATGATTGACAGCTTCATCACAACGTGCCCACTCATGCATCACATCTCACGCAGAGTTTTTTGGTGAAATATCAAATCACCCAGATGACTCAGCTGCCCTACAGCCCAGATTTGGCACCCTGTGACTTCTGGCTTTTCCCAGAACTAAAGTCACCTTTGAAAGGGAAGAAATTTCAGACTGTCAATGAGATTCAGGAAAATACGATGGGGCAGCTGATGGTGATTGGGAGAACTGTGTGAGGTCCCAAGGTGCCTACTTTGAAGAGGACTAAGATGTCACTGTCTTATGTACAATGTTTCTTGTATCTTCTTCAATAAATGTCTCTATTTTTCATAGTACATGGCTGGATACCTTCTGGACAGACCTCATACAAAGGAGAGAGATAGGAGGCTCTTGACAGCAAAGTATAATGGGAAAAGACTAAGCTGATAGGTGTAAGGGAGGGAGAAAAGTTCAAGGTGAGTAAGAAAAAAAGGTCAGGTTATGCAAAGTCACGTTGTGAATGTCTGATTTTATCCCAAAAGCAACAGAGTCCTACTGAAGGGTGTTGAGCAGTGAAATGATATAATCCCACAGTTGTGTTGAAAGGAGTCTCGGGTTACAGTGCAGGAAGGCACTGGAGGAGAGGGCAAAGGTGAAGGTCGAAGATGAGCTGAACAGCGGCTGTGGCATTTCTGGAGCAAGATGATGGTTACTTGGATTAGGTGACAGCAGTAGGAAAGGACAGAAGTATAGAACCCAGAGATATTTAGATATCAAGTGTGGGGAGCGAGGGAAAACGAATCAGTTCCAGCTACAGCAAACAGAGGGAGAGGGATGCAGTGAAGTGGGATGGGGGAGGCGGGAGGGGCTGTACCTCGAGGCTCTGTGGTCAGACGGCCTGAGGCCCGCAGCCAGCCCTCACGCTTATCTCATGCCACTAACGTCTGAAGTTCATCTCTTCTGAAGAGCTTACCTTGTTGTCCACCTAAGAGTCTTTCTACTCCTTTGATTAGCTTATGGCGGTGTCCGTATGCATTGATGCCTATTTCCTTCAACTCCTCATGACCCATATCAGCCAGCACATCTAGCGTAATCTGAAAGTGAAACAAAATTAATCCCTGAATCTTTAACAGTTCCTCAGGTGATGAAAATGATGGAAACTCTTTCATTTGTCTTCCATGGTATATACGTACCCATTCAAATTAAGGAAATTATTGTGTTTCATTTATAAGCATGAATTTAAAATTTTCTTATAGTTGTCTTGATAATTTTATCAGCTTTTCGTTCACTTTAAATACTTCTTAATTTGCTTTTAGTCGGTGGAGAATTAAGATGGGAGAAATAATACCATAGAAATATAAAATGATCATATTTCCTTTTGGTTATCTAATTCTACCACCTTTTGCTTGCCTCAGAATCGGGAGGGACCAGCTGGCAGGCGGGAAGCACCAGCTCAGCACGCAGCAGGCAGCCAGGGGTGAGCACATTCAGGTCACGAGGGTTTATACCAAAACAAGGAGGAACTTCCAAGAGCCAAGAAATATTCAAGCATGAGAAGAGCTGTCTTGGAAGGAGTGAAATTTGTATCGCCAAGTATTTAGTCACATTCCATTCCATTTTATATAGAAGCTATGTAAAGAATTCCAATTGAGAAGAGAGTAGATGGATTTTAGTTCTCTTATAAATTCTCAGATTTAACAAAAAAAATTTAACATTCTTTTTTGTGGTACAAAATACTGGTTTTTAATGTTGGGTTATTCACCCTTGTAAAGGAGATGATTCAAAATTACCTAATTCTTTGTTGACTAAAAGTAACCATGACTCTACCGCCACCAAGTGGCAGTGTTCTGAACGTACAGGGTGGAATCTTGGGCGGCTGCATCTCTTGAGGCCTAAACACGCTATTTTCCAGGCCAGAAAATGTGGTTCCATGATAATCCAAATACTACCTCACAAGATTAGCCTTTTTTTTCCCCTGGAGAACTGAGAAATCTTTTTGAAGATACCCCTTTTCCAACTCAAATGAGCTATTTTAATCTCTCCACGGCTTCTGTACTTTTATACTTGTACATGACATTTAAAAAGGCAAATGTGGCCTGGAGCTCTTCTGAGCTTTATCATCAGAATGAAATATTATATAATGAATCTGATTTTCTCAGCACAACAAGCATTCATTATTCAGTCTTTGGAAATGATTTACTATACTGCTCCTAAATGGCCATTTAAAAATAATCACTCCATTGCACAAAATTGGCAATTCACTTCTAATCGCCCAAAGGAAGTTTTCAGCAGAGTTTTCAAAGGTTCTGAAGTGTATGTCTTTGAGAAAGAATAGTTCACAACACAATATAATAGGAGCCTTTCCACTTTCAGCCAGATGGAATTTTAATATAATTTGAAACCAGGCACAGCATTTCTATTATTGACATCCTATTTTTTTTTCTGTCTAAATATTCTAAACTGCAGTTCAAATAAGGGTTGGCATAGGAACAGGATTTAATATTTATGTGGTAGCTTTAATCCAAACAATCCTTAAGCTTTTCTGAATTGATACCATATTTCTTCCATACAGTGCATATATGGAAGAAGCAAAAACCAGGTCTGCAAAATCACAGTATTTGTCAATTATATAGCTTCAATATATGAAATTAATACCTTATTTACTCCTCATAACAACCCATTAAGCACTACCCCTTAGGAGGGAATGTGGACTCAGAGAAGTCATAACAACCACACACAGAAGAACTGAGATGTACTGTCATTTCTGTCTGTCACTTGCTTGTACCTCATAAATGGAATGACTAGAAAGCTAACATAACTAAATGTTGAATTTAATTTCTTTGACTTACGTGGTACCACACTGGTCCCACATTTATCAAGCAGTAGCCACTGGAAAACATTAAATGACAAGCTAAGGAATTCAGATTCATGTTTATGTGTTTATTCATGTTTAATGAGTACCTTCTATATGCTCCTTCCCCCCAAAGTAGCTAATTAAACATTTCACCTCATTCTACAGCAACCCATTACAGCCCAGCAGGTTCAATGACTGGTCCAAAAGGACAGAACAAGCAGTGCCAGGTCGGAGTCCTCCCCCCGAGCCCACGCCACTTCCTCTACCCGGGAGGTAAAAACACAAACACATGGTAAAGTTGCTGAACTTCTGGAAGACTCTCTACAGGAACTCTGAGGCAGGTTACACAACCTGGGCACGTGCCCTGACTGGGAATCGAACTGCTGACCCTTTGACTCACAGGCTGGTGCTCAACCACTGAGCCACGCCAGCCAGGGCAGTGAGCACATGTTTTAAAAACTCACAGCACACAGGTGTGTGACTCAGCACACGGGCTGAAAAATCACTGTCACACAATTTGGGGGAGAGGTATAAAATACTGGATTCCCGTGGCTTCTTTAGAAATTTAACTGTGGTTTTAAAAAAGCAGTTAAGAAGCTCCCCACCCCCCAAAGGGGGAAGAAAATAAAGAAAAAAAAAAAAAAAAGAACTGAGTAGTAATGAAAAAGACTCAAGAGAGCTTACCTGTTCTGTCTCAAAGATGTCTCGAAGATGTTCAAGGCCAAGGCTTTTTAGAAACTGACTGATATTCATGTCCAGACCCGCAACTAAAACAGACATAAAGCTTCTCAGCAAAGAGTTTACCAATGTAAAGGAAGTTTCAGTATTTTTTAAAGCCATGGCTCTCTGACGCCCCTGGCCACGCAGATGATTCTACACAGCATAAAATAATCCTAAATTTCATTCAGACACTCGGAGTTATCGCTGACTTTGGTTGGGAAGTAAACGCAGTTTAGCAAATCAGTAGTACCTGTATTAATTTTAATATCACAGAGCATAATGTAATGCTTTTAGTAAGTGACATACTTAGTAGATGTAAAATTCCAAATTTACCAGCTGTCATTTTAATTTTCACTCCTTAAGTAATCCCTGCTTTTTCCTGACACATCTCGGCAATAGGCCTCACTCAGCAGCTCAGTACGACACTGTGACTTGAAACGGACGTACAGAGGTACCAGCGTAAGTAAGAATAACGCCAATACCAAGACATTTATTCTATGAGGACTTACTTCTTGTAAGCTGTTGTGTAAATGACAACTTACAAGTGGTTAAGATATCTGTGAGTGAGGCGTTCAATGATTACCCATAAAAAAATGAACCTGTGACTTAAAAAGAAGCCAGAAGACAAGAACCAAACAAGCATCTGCAGGGTTCACTCACCCTCTCCTTCCTTCCTTTCGGTGCCTGCGGCGCCATCCCCTGCGTTGGACGGCCCTCCCACTGCCAGCTCCGCCAATGGGACGGTGAGGTTGTCTATGCTGCTGGCGGCCGACAGGCAGGAGGGGGTGGACGCTGGTGAGATGAGGGAGGCACTCACTACGGTGGCCTGAGGTTTAAAGCAGGTAGGCAAGGCCTCGGGGGGCATGGCGTCTATCAGCAAGGCTCTGATGTCGTCGGCCTGCAAAGGACACACAAGGCACAGAAATACTGCGTTTTAAAGCTGTACGTTTTCCACTAAAGACCAAGTACCCTGTGGATTCTTTCTTTAATAAATGCCTCATTATCTTCTTCGTTTTAATAATTTCTTCCTCTTTCCTTCTGTCATCCAAAAGGGCCTGTAGTTTCAGTAGGCAGAACTGGAAAAACTATTAATTACAAAATATTTCGGTTTCTGAACAGCTAACATTAAGCTTGGTTGACTACAGTTAAGAGCACTCTACTATGTGCTGGAAATTTGCTAAAAATAGATTGTGTTTTCTCCAGACACACAAAAAGTTAATTAACTGTGAGAACAAACTCCAACAATGTGGACTATGTTAATTCCTAAAAACACTTTTTTAAAACTAAGTGAAAAGTATACATGAAGTTGTTCAGATTACACATGTATTTGAAGGATATGTAAGTTAACCAAGATTCGAAGAGTAATAAAAGAGAAATAAAAGATTTCACCTTTCATTAAAAAAAGTTCATTTCAAAGTGTTGACTGTGGATCTCTTCCTTAGAAGTAGTTCCCACATTTATTTACTATGTTTGTTTATGCTTAAAAAACAGTAATTTTTGTCCAGTGACTGCCCAGAAGTTAATTTTACTGACTCTCTCAAAGCCTCAGGGAAATTATCATGAGCAAGAGCTGCCCTGGCCCTGACCAGTGAGGCTCGGCAGGTTGGGGGTCGTCCTGCAAAGCGAAACCTTGCAGGTGCAGTTCCGGATCAGGGCACATACAAGAAGCAGCCAATGAAGGTATCAATAAGTGGAACAACAAATCAACGTTTTTCTCTCCCTTTCTCTCTCTAAAATCAGTAAATTAAAAAAACTGTTTCAGGAGAAGTTGGTTTGTTCTTATTCTAAGTGAAATACGCATGACTAAAGGTAAACCCGCTGAGTCCTGGAATTTCATGTCATCTCTGGAAGTACAGCAAGCGAGTCTGAGGATTCCGAAAGGAGGACTTACTGTTGCCAGATCTAAAGGTGTCTGACCTTCTTGGTTCTTCATGGTGGGGTCTGCTCCGTGTGCCAGGAGGAGGGCACACAACTGGGTCCTCCCTTTTTGGGCTGCTTCGTGAAGAGGTGTAAAAGCCCACTTATCTGTTGCATTTACACACGTGTTGTATTTTATCAACAGTGCTGCTATGTCCACGTGCTGGAGAAAAGGAAAAGGAGGCGCAGAGTTAAGAAAAGATTATCTGGTGAGGCTCCATCGTACACACTGGCTTCTGTTTAACCTTTCATTCTCTCCGTATCTCTATTTTCATCATTAATAGAACTTTCTTGTATGAAAGTATTTACCAACCCCTCTCCTTGTATTCTGGACTCTGTTTTTCCTTGCCTTCCCTGACGTCGGTTCCACAATTATTCTTTTACCCAGCAATTCTAAGTTTTCATGGGACCATTTGAAATTTTTTCTTTACCTAACATATTCAGGCCCATCTTAAAAACAAACATTTCTCTTCTAACCAATTGCAATCTGCTCCATTTGTTGAAATACTCATCTCAAAGCTTCTGAATGTTCTTTTATTCCAGCCTTTGGGAAAGTAACAAAACCCATTTTTTAAAAATTAGTCTCTCGTGTCTAAAATGCCTTAGAGGGTGAAGGAATGCAGACACACTAGTAACCTGGGCATGAGACGATGTGATCTTCTGTCAACTGTGAAAGGGGTGGTTAAAGAAGAAGGAAAAAGAAGAGCAGAATGTGAGAAATTCTGAAGGGAAAAAAACACTCGGTTTTACAAAGGCAAATTAGCCCCCCAGGAAGGAAAAGGAGAAACGCCGAAGACGACCACCTGTGGAGAAAAACTAAGTGGGAGTGAAACTGTGAGAAGGACGAGGCTCGCCTGGGCCTGCCGTTTGTGAGGCGCGGCACCCACGTCACGAGCTCTCTTACCCACTCACCCACCAACCGAACATGTACTGAACGCCTACTAAGTGCTTGGCACTAGAGAGAGGAACTGGAGGGCAATGATGAAATGGAACATTGAGCTGAGAGTTGTAGTAGCTATTTGATAAATAAGCTCATTAAGAAAAGGAATACAGAGATACTCGCAAGGGGAATACAACTGTGAAAACAGTATTTTGGGAAAGGAGAAGACAAACGGGCAATAAGAACAGGAGAAGAGCTAAAAAGAGGCAGGACTATTGAAAACCAAAGCAGGAGAAAGTTCTAGGATAGTAGGTTCTCTCAAATAATAGGTTTTAGCTTCTTTCCAGAAGTTCTTCTAAGTAAGCTTAAGACAACTGATTATGCAGAGGTAAAACTGATTCATGATTAGGCTTTTGAAAATAATAAAAATAAACTTTATTCTTACATACCCATTTAGGGATGCTAGTTTAGTCACTACTAAAGTATTTCTGAAATCCATTTCAACTCCAATAATCTATAATTTTTGTGCAATTGGCACATTGGTGTCCTTTATGGATACATTTCCTGGCATAACTTGATTACTTTTTATAACTCAGAAGCACATTATATGTTGAGAATAAATTTCTAACTCATGCTGTTGTTCAACTGCAATATACTGAGTTATCTGAAGCCGACTTTCATGAGAACGGGAGAAGAGGTGAAGGGAAGGACGAATACCCAAGATGGGATCTAGGGCATGTTTCTTCGTATTTTCCTTAAGACAGTCTTGGCTCTCTTGAAGATGCTCACTTCAAATAGAAAAGGATTTTTTTTTCCTGAGGCACTACTGAAGTTTAAAAAAAAAAATAATACAAATACTTATTCATTTTAAGAACGGTAATTTCAGAAAACAAAGAAAAGGAAACTTACTAGACAATACAAATCAGACAACTTCTCATAAAGCTTCCATATTTACTTTGACAACATAAAGACAAAAAAAGTATAATCAGACCAGGGTTTCTGAGAACAGGATATGTTTTATGATCATTTTGAGAGTGAATGATGTCATCATTACAAAATTGATCTTAACACAAAGATAAAAAGAAGCACTATCGAAGGTACTATAGCAACATCACTTAAAACAAAACAAAGCCCCCTAACTTATCTCCCTTATTCAAAGGATATATGTTGAAAAAGAATAGCTGTTTTTAGTAAACCCAAAAGCATGAAATAATTTCAATCTTTTCTACTTACAGGCTATTTAAATTGTGCTTCTAATGATTAATTTTATTCTACTCTCATGAGTGCTGGCAGAATAAAATAATTTAGTAGGCTAATTTGCACAGGCTTCCAAAATCAGACAGTCCAAAGAAAACCGTGTGTGTGTGTGTAAAATGAAGGACATATATGGTACGCATTGGTAAACCTCCTTTACGGTGACTTTACAGTTCACGCTGGGAGAGGCCAGTTAGTTACATGCTTTTTAAAATCTGCCGACAAACATCTGGAAAAGCAATAAACCAAAAGGAGTATATTACTACCCAAGTACTCTAAAGACATAATTCTTCAGTCTTTTAAATATCGACCCCACTAGGGCAAAAACAGAAATGGAAATTGAAGGCTGACACGTGCAGTAAATGAGCTGCAGCTCAGCTCTTCACCACAGATAAGGGCCACAGGCTGAACAGGAAGGTGCAGAAAAGGCACTGAACGCTTGGAATGTTTCCAGGGGAAGGTGGTGCCAGAATCCAGCTGCAGCACAGATGCTTTGAATGACAAATACAATGTAACAAGATTTGAGGGCCCTGATTTAATTTAAGAAAGGTGGGAAGCAGGGAGAAGAGAAATATGCTTGGTTTTTGCAAGGAGCATGAGAGCATGGGGATATTCTCATTATCAAGGGCAAGGAAGACAAGAGTATGAGAATGTAAAAATCACAGTGACTCGTTTTCATTTACAGTTTGCCAGGCTTTGGGAAATCTAGAAATTGCCCCATCAATAGTGACTACAACTGTGAGATCCCCTGGGACGGACAATTTGGCATCTGTGGGTTTTCACAAATAGGGAGTAGGTGGAGGAACAGACAAGCACGGGAGCATTTGTTCACGCCACTGCTGTGTGACTCCTTCAGCCTGAAGTGGGCCTTGGCGGCCTCCACAAACGGCATCAAGGTGTCCCTCCTCTCTCTGCAGACGACCAGCTACGGTGCTTTGAGAGAACGACTGGAGTTTTGCTGTGCGGTTTTAGCTGGTCAATTCAAATTCTATGAAGCCACATACTTGTATACCAATAGCTTAATCATTTACTTTATTATTTAAAAAATATTGATGGTAAATGTAAGCAACCACAATTCTCATGCCTAAAAGGAGCATCCTAGCTTTTATAGTTTCTAAAATCTACTTGAGGTAGAATATTATCGGCATCAGTAATACATCTATGATTGTGCTAGGTAATGCTGAAGACTAAAAAGCTACAAAAAGCATGGTCCTTGGCTAAAAAGATAATTACACTTAACCAGAAGGCTAGAAACACTCTGAATAGAACTGTAACTGTGGTAAATGATGCTGTGGGTTAGATTATCTACTCCCTTCGTGCACAGTATACTCTTAACAAAGCAGTACATGCCAGTGAAGTTTTCTAGACTTGAACTTTAGCATGCTCACCCCATAGGACGCTGCGTTATGAAGAGGAATTAAGCCGCCTTTATCTTGTGCATTAACATCGGCTCCGTGCTCTAGAAGGTATTCAGCGACTTCCAGGTTGTTGTAGCCAGCTAATCGAGTGAAAAAAGGCAAACATGTCAGCTTAAAAAAAAATGTGTATATAAATAATAAGGGCTGCAAAAATGTTAAAGTTTTAATACTTCTTGCTTTAAAAGCTAATACTATTATTACATAATTAAGAGGCATTATAATAAGAAGTTACATAAAATTATGTCAACAAAAATGTTTTACTAAGGAGTACTCTCCAGGGTGAGCATTTCTTTCCTCTCCTGGCAACCTGAGTCGGGTACGGAGGAACGGACGCGGCTCGGCCATGCTGGTGATGCTTACCTGCCAGGTGCAGGGGGGTTGAGTTTCTGCCCTGGGTGTCCCTGCAGTTGATATTCTCTGGGGTACAGAGCTTCTGCACTCTTGCCAGGCAGCCCTTCTTGGCAGCGTCCAACAAGGCAGCATCTCCTCTCAGTAAGTCCTGAATGTCGGTGTCTCCTTCTTTAACCAAATCTAAAGGTGTATTTCCATCTCTGTTCTTTTTAGTTGGATCTGCTCCATGCTGCATAGAAAACCCAAACAGGGTTTGTATTTTTTGTAGTACCTTTTTTCAGGTTTGTTTATCTTTAACTTCACTTACCTAAGGAAGGTATTTATTCTACATGCATTCTGACCAACAGAGGCAATAACCTGTTTCATTCTGCCAGTTCCCTACTCAGCAGTACCTGCTGGAGCAGGTTCCAACTCGGTCCCAATCCAAGTCCCAAGTGTCCAGACCACTGGTGGTGATGGTGAAAGGGGAGCAGTGCCGAGTACCTTTCGCTTTTCATCTCCCACACTGTCCCAGGCCCCAAGCTTTAAAGATGGCTTTGAAAACATCTTTTCCTTTAAGAATGGGATGGATGTTAACTTTGACTGGATTTCGATTATATAAAGATATTCAGTGAATATCATGAAAAATATGAAAATATCATGAAAAAGAACTGAGAAGAGGAAAACACATAGGTAGGAAAAGTACTTGATTTTAAATGCAAATGGAAGTTTGGTAATTTTAGAATATTTATATTTTAAGCCTTAACGCCGATCATGAAATCAGGTATAAATGTCTCCTACTGGCCTACTGGTGTCAAGCTTTGTCATGAGTCCTCAGGGACTTGCCTGTTATTTCTTACTGACCGATGATACCAAAACTGACCGTCAAACACTGTGTTACTCTCAAGGCTCTTCAGAACATATCTGATACCATAAAAGATGGAATAAAAATTTTATTTATAAATATAAATAAAATTTATATTTATTTATATTTATATAAATATTTTAAAAAAACCCAGATAAACCAGGGCAATTTTTTCTCTAGTTAAAAAAAAAAACAAAAAACAGAAGGAGAAAACTACAAATATAGATACATGTCTGGTCACTTTTTACATCCTTAATAAACACACACACACAATTACTGGGCTAGTTTCACATGACTAGCAGTTTCTACTATTTCATGTGTATCCCCAAAATTCATATGCGTAACTACTGACAGATATTTATATTTTTAATAAAAATCTGATACTGAAGTTTTATAAGATATATATTTAAACGTTTAATAATGAGAAATGAGTTTGTTAACAATAGAGTAGCCAGTACAGAATAAAATAAAACTTGATCAAAAAACTTGTTTCTCCTTCTATAAATGTTTTCTAATATTAGTACTATAAGTATTAGATAAGTAATGCAAGGTAATTCAGCTCTTTCCCAAACCTACCTTGATGAGCTGTGATTAACTTGAATCAAATGGTTCAGAAGGCACTTCAGACATCACTCAAAGCTACGCAAATATCCTGGTATCACACTTAAACATCTTCCAAAATGCAGAATGGAAGCATCTCTATAGCACTTACTATACTCCATAGAATCAATTACTTTGATGTAATTTTACATGCTAAATAACCAAAAGTAAACATGACTTATACTTTATAATTTTTAAAGTTACATACTTTTAAGAGGAGCTTGCAGATTTCGTACTTCCCTTTGGCGGCTGCCTCATGAAGGGGGGTGAATTTCCACAAGTCTGCCACGTTGACGGACGCCCCGTGCCGCACCAGGAGCTCCGCCACCTCATAGTGTCCGTAGGAACAAGCGTTATGGAGGGGCACCAAGCCACTGAACAGAAGAAAATGATTTTGAAGACATACAACAAATCTTTGAGTTACAATGATACTTATGATAAAAACAATGTAATTCTTCTATGGCACTGACTGTACTGAAGACTCACTTAAAAAGAAAAAGGAAATGAATTGGTCTTTAAGACATGGTCATCCATTTCCAAATAGGATTAAGAATTTCAAAAATGTCCCTTTCAATATAAAAACTTTGCATAGTTTCTTGGTGATAGACACAAATTTCACAGCAAGCCTTACCCTTAAAATACATATACCCTTAAAACACACATACACACACACACACACACACGGAAAAATTCCATCACAATACTTTTAATTCAGGTTTCATCCTGGCAATAAAAAGCAACACTACAAAATGATTTCAGGAATCATTAAACAATAATTTGGCTTATCATCTCTCAGATTTTCTTCCATTTGGGCTTTCCTAATGAAAACTGTATGCTTATAAAGTACACAAGGTAAATAGCTTACTTATTTAGGCAAGTTCTACCTTTTTTTTAATGGTTTCTGGGCAAAGGTTTAAACATTCAGTGTTCAGTAGGGAAAATAGTGGCATCGCCCATAGACTCCAGTCCGATGAGCAAACCTCGCAGCCTCCTTATGAGCAAACTACTCTGAGGTGACTCTAAGTTCTGATGGGAAGGCAGCTGACATTTTGAAGGGACCAAAAATGTGCCCATAAGAAGGGTGCATCAAAAAGATGAGTTTAATTTGCACTTGAGACATGGCAGAAACCAGGAACAGGAGCCTTTTTATTCAGAGATCAGTGCTTTTTACAAAACACTTTTGAAATAAAAATACTAACTGCTAATACTAACTGGGCAATAGAAAAAAAATGTTAGCTGTTCTCCAAGGAACTATATAATACTTTAAAAGAGCTAGTGACACTATTATTGAATACTGGTGTCTGATATGTCCCTTTTAAAAGATAAATAAATCCATAACAACTGTTAACTGAAGTCTAAGTTGTATGGTTTAATTCTATAGTACTCTGGTATGTAATTGTACACAAAGATGCTTACTTATTTATCCTTTGAGCTGACATGAAATTAACTCAGAATATGGAAACTCATTTCAATTAAACTTCCTTCTTGCATTTCTAAATAGCTTCCATGGTTGCTTTAAAAACTGTCCAGATGAAGAGAATAATTTGCAAACTAATATCAAGAATATGTGAACTAGTCAAAAAGAAAATTATGTTTTTATTAATACTGAAAACTTTGGGATAGAAGGCTTCTTTTTGGAAGAGATTATACATTTTTAATAGCAAAACAAGAAATAATAAATTATAAACTATATAAACACATTCATACAGTGCAATAAAATACTATATACAGGCATTACAAGGATGAGATTAAACTTAAGTACTAATACGGACGGGCATTCAAGACCTATTACTGGATGAAGAAGCAAACTGCAAAGCTGCTGCCTGGAATGGCACCATCCTTTATGGAGACAACCACCCCCACCCCCAGCAGCACACACGCTGCTACCAGCACTTAAAAAACCGGGAGGATTACGACACAATTTTAGTGGTATAAGCTCCAGGAGGTGAATTTTCACTACATTTCTAGAATGTTTTAATTTATGCTTTAAACTTTAGAAAATATGCACTGCTTTTTAAATAGGGAAACACATTAAGACTTTGAAATATTAAAATAATTTTTTAAGTCTCAAAATAATGACCCCCAAACAGCTGAATCCCAACACACACCCTTTGTCTTTGGCATGGACATCGGCACCGTGGTGCAGAAGGTACTCCACGACGGACACACGGTTGTAGCCGGCTGCGAAGTGCAAGGGCGTAGAATGCCGGCCTTCTAGGTCTCTGCAATTCACATTTTGAGGGCTGCAAAGTTGCTTTTATGGCACATACACACAGACAAACACAAGATGGACATTAATACTTATTCACTGACTTGGCTTCAAAGTACTGCAGGCATTCTGGATAACTTGTGATTTTCTAATGAACATTTATTTCCAAAGATTAGATAATACAAGTGATGTTTAAAAATCAGCACTATGCTTGGTTTTACAGTGTCTAGAAATAAGTCTTACTACTCTTCATAGAGCAACTGAGTCTTTTTCATTATTTCCTGGCCAGAATCCTAAACAAAAAGAAAAATCCATATGAAAGCAAGCAGCGCTAGGCAACCAGTGCCTCCTTCTCCACCTTTCTAGGGCTGCCCTCTCCCAGACTGCTTGTCACCTTGGTCATTCTTTGCTCAAGTAAGAGCAACCCCGGCTGACTGTAGAATAACCCCGAGTTCTTGTCTCTTCTGATGTGCAAGCAATAAGGCTCTGGGAAAATCATGATGATTTTCCGTGGGCCACCCACTGGGCCCTCCGATCAGTCCACAGAGCTTTATTGGGGCTTTGGGCGATGTCTGACTCTGCTACTCAAACTGAGTATAATCCTTTTCTCGTTTTTGTTTTGGTTCTTCTTCCATCTCCTTCAGCGATGCCCTCCAAGTTTCTCCCCTGTCTCCTCTTCTCCTTCTGAAAGTTACCATTTCAGTCCAAGCTCCAATCTGTCTGGCTACAAGCAGTAGGAAGCAAACTAAGGACTGACAAGATGCATCATCACTGGTGACAGGTAAATTACAAAAATATTGGAATGATAATTTACAATCTATAAAAACTTCATATCCTTCAGTGAATCACTATCTATTGGAGAAGCTGATCATTATATCTGTTCTACAGATAAATAAACCAAGGCTCAGCAAGGTTAGGTGAAACTGCTTTTCACAGTTTGTGCAGGGCAGCATAAAGACTCGGAGCCTGTTTTCCTGATTATTAATCTCCTGATCTTTTCCCTGCGTGGCTGGTTTCAAACCTACTGATTCTACTGATATACTCAGTAGGGTAAAAATAGGACTTTTCAGGTGGCGTAATATTTACATGACAGAAAAAAGTCTAGGCAATATAAGGGAGGGCCTGAAATTTCAACTCTGTGTGAAAAATCATTAGAGACTCTAAACTCTGAAGAACCTTTACCATCTGGCCAGGTCAAATCTCTTATCTTTTCATAACAACTGAGTCTGTGGCTATGTTAATACATAAGTAGAGAATAAAGAAAAAGAAATGATAAATTAATATGTAAACTAGAAAGAAAGGCTACAAAGACTGGTAGCAGACTCCAGCGATCTTAAATGACAAGCTGCTTCCTGCTGCTCCTGCTTTTTTGTCTAGTTCTTATTTTTCTAAGTTAACTTTTTTCCCCCCACAGAGAATACTGGCAAAATAGGAATGAAGGAGGAAATAAAGAAACACAACTCATTTTGCCAGGCCAAAAATAAAAGCCTGCTCTGCTTATTAAATACTTGCTTTTTAATATTTATTAGTTCTTACTCTTTCCTGTTTCATTTTCTTTTTGAACGGCTAAGCAACTGTACATCATTTCTGCCTGCTTTACATAATTTCAAATATGTTCCTTAGCAAACAGCCTTTTGTTCAAATATCATATTTCTAATAATTCCTAAAGCCTCTAGGAAAAGAATATTTTAAGGCTTAATCTTCATTTAATTTGTGCTATGTTTTTTCCTGCTATGATTCCATTAAAAAAAAAAAGTTGGCCTTTATTGTGAAGAGACTGTTTTCAAAACCAGAAAGGTACATACAGCCCATGGACTGCTACACACAAAAGCCATGGGATTGTGCTACTTTACTACATGAAGAATAAACTACTGATTTTATTATAAGGGCACACGTGGCAATTTGAGTGCTGAGACTGCCATGCTGTGACAAGGAAAAGGAGTCCTAGTTATTTTTACATTTAAAGATTTTCTTCTATTAGGATACACTTATAATGACAGAAGCATTTTTAAGAAAAAAAAATACAAAATTTCAGATCTAAGAGAACTTGAACATTTCTCCCCTGTGGCTATTACAACTGATATTATTATTTTTCTTTAAATAACTTCAATGTCATTACACATGAAAGAGAGATTGGCAGTGACCACATACTAAGATAAAAATAAAATTTCTAGGACACAGAGCTTAGAAAGTGTTTACTGTCATTTCAAATAGTATACATCATCAAGAATGCTAAAATTAATTTCCTAAAAATCACAAAAATAAGTTTTGCTTAATAAGTGACATAGTTTAATCTGTAAAAAATAATCAGTATGAGTTCCAATATAGATATTGTAATTGGCCTTTCTTTAAAAAAATAAAAAGAAATATAAACAAAACCAAAATCCATATCCCTTTCTGCTATTTTCATCTATATATGAATGATTGTAGATGGGAAGTGTGTGTGTTTTTAAAAAGCATATTTGATTTCAAAAAATAATTTTAATCAAAAAGCATTAAATCTATAACCACTGTTTCTATATCACAAATAAAGAGCTGATAAAATTTTCTTGGCAAACAGTTACAACAGAAAATCCACCTTCTGCATATAAATAATTCCAAATGGTTGCAGGATCAAGGCACCTTCCCAGAGCAAATGTGGGACTCTTGGAAAGCTTCAAGGAACACTGTTTCAAACCTTACTGTACTATCACGTGGCCTTGAACTAGCTCAGAAATTTCTGAAGGCGGCCAAAAGTGACACTTCGATTACTGTAAGTGAAAATAAAGAGCTATCACAGAACCAGAAGAAAAGTGACTAAAAAGTAGTTGAAGTGAATAGACAATAAGGCACATACTGGGAACTTTTTTTGTGGTTAAAGATCTCTCTTGTTTATGTATTCACTCTGCTCAGCCCTTTCACTGTTTGGATTTCAGTAGCTTCACTTACAAGTTTAAAATGAACTGGTTAGCAAGGGCTCAGTGGTGCTACTCCAGACATCAAAGGCACTGACTCACCTTCACAGTTTCCAAGTCTCCAGCTTTAGATGCCTCTAGGAGTCGATAGTCAACATCAGAAGTACGCATAGGTGTGCTTTCTGCATAAAAGGAAGGAAAGGTGACTGTTGGTTTTCACGGATTCAGGGAATAGTAAAGAAGGGAAAATTATTCGGTGAATGAAAAGAGAGATTAAGGGGTCAGATTCTAAGACCTAATTATATAGGGTCCCCCCTAATCTTTATTAGGGAAGAAATAAGTGGTTTCTTACTTCAATCTATATCCATCTCTTCCTAAACCAAATTTAAATAAATTCTAAGACACATAAGTTTTCCTCCATCCCTACTACTCTGCCTTTCAAATTTTCTGGTCAAACCTGGCAAAGGGGAATGAAGAAACATAGGACCGTGCGCTCGTGATCACCTTCATGACATGCTGGCCTAGTAAGTGTTGTATTGAAGCTGTGCCGTGGGTTTTGTTGTGCAGACCTGGGGAAGCCACTCAACTGTCAGTACTTAACGTTTGGCCTTTCTCTTTTAAAAAGGATTTTATTTATTCACTTTCAGACAGAGGGGAAGAGAAGGAGAAAGAGGGAGAGAAACATCAGTGTGTGGTTGCCTCTCATGTGTCCCCCACTGGGGACCTGGCCTGCAACCCAGGGATGTGTCCTGACTGGGAATTGAACTGGCAACCCTTTAGCTCACAGCCCACGCTCAATCCGCTGAGCTACACCAGTCAGGGCCATGTAGTCTTCCTTTTGGGCCTCAGTTTCCTTAAAACAAAACAGAAGTACAATGCCTGAAATCACTGATCCTGGAAAATGAAATCAGTGTACAGAAAAGGCCTACTAAATACAGAAATTTAATTCCTATTTATCGAATGGCTTCAGGGAATTACAATGTAAACCTGTCTGTAAATTGGGAGGTGTGATACCAATGCTAAGTGGAATATAATTAAATCAGGCTGTTAAGTCTACAAGTATGAGGTTAACGAATGAAATTTTTTGATTAATCCAATATAAACACAGCAAAAATTCATTACAGATTGGCTCAAGTGAAAAGGTTTTTTTAAAAAACCATTTGTAGTACATCACTCAAAATATTTCATGAACATTAAGAGAGGCTTTTATAATGTGTACACATACTCAGCATAAAAAAGGGATGGAGTTCAGGAGACCAGAATTAGACTGGCTTGCCTAACTGTGACGGGGGACAGACCACTCAATAGCTTAGTTAAGTGATTTACATGACTGTTAGTTTCCCTTTAATCCTCTTTCAGATTTCAGACTGCATTATTTTATGATCGGAGACATCTTTCTTGAATCCACTGTACAAATGGGAAGAGCAACTGTTGCTAAAAAGGTTTTAGATTTCAGAAGAAACACTGCGCCTCTTTCTAGTCTGAAGTGCTTCATTCAGGAGAAAGGCTTTTAGTGTAAGTTATGAGAACGCTTCAACAGAAGAAAAACTTTATTTCTTTAATCATAATAATAGCAGATAAAATGTTAAGATTGAAGGGACAAAAGAAGAGAGTATTTCATATAATGAAGTATGTTTTTGAAATAACAATTATGTTTCTTTGAAAGGGAGTGTACTGTATTTGCTGGTTTGTGGAAGTGTTGAGTTAGACACCTTTACGTTCCTCTTCACACGGAGAACCTTCAGAAAGCATTTGCCGAGCTCACTTCCATCCTACTCTACACCAGGGCCAATGTATATGTTGAATCCTAGCTCTTTGTTTGGCTTCCCTTATCCTGTTCTTTGATGTCTCATTTGCCTCTGGTCGAACTGTGCCTGGCGTTACTGCATTTAAGGCGTGTATATTATGTTCCTATGACAGCGATTCTGGCAGTTGGTAAAACTCACTGAAACAGCCTTAGGAAATCTATAGGTAATATTTTTAGTTTATCATTTCAACAGAATAATAAGACAACTGTTTGCATACAGAGTCAGAACTTCAGATATTTTTCGATTCTAGCATTTTAAGGATAAAATTAATATAACTGATTTTTTAGAAATTCTCAGAACTATCTTGATGCAGACTGATTTGTGAAGGGTGTAATTTCACAATCAAACAAAAACTGTTATGAAAATAAGAGAAAGAGTAGAGAGTAAATAAGTTATTTAAAGCTATTGATTAATTACCATACAAGTTATAGAGCTTCGCAACCACTACAAATCCTGAACAGGGTCGGAACAGACTCATTTTTAGAAACAACACATACACACACAGAGCCAGGAACTTTGTGTACAGAGATGCACACTTTTAAAAAGAGGATATAAAAATAAAGTTAAAAAGGAAATACAGGCAAAAGAAGACTAGCTGATATGCAAAATACTGTATTAGTTCAATCCTTTATCAGCACACTGGCTTTTGCATGGTATGAAAATAAATACTTCACCTAGCGTCAAAGGGTGGAGGTGGATTTCTAATTTTTTCTCCAATTCTACTGTGTTTTATCAGGATTAAAAATCCAACAAACAAAACCCCTGAAAGTTTCAAAGTTTAAAGGGCAGTTGACTATTTTAAAAAATATCTCCTGCAGACTTGTTTAGTTAGTGTTGAGACCACAGGACTGGCAAAAGGTCTCAGTGGCTTATTTCAAGGTCCAAGTGTAAACAGGGATTTCAGTTTTAACTCAACTATCCTAAGTCCCAAATCCTTACCTTTGTAAAGGATTAGGCAAAAGCAATGCAATAACCAAACTGGACTACACAACCAGCGTGACCAGAATTCGGGTCAAGGTCTGCTCAAAAGAACCGTCTGTGATGCTGGGACTGCTCTTCACCTGTGCTCGTGCAGCAGCCACCAGCCCTGTGTGGCCACTGAGTCCCTGAAATGCAGCTAATACAAACGATAAACAGATTTTAACACTGTATCTGATTCAGCCGCATGCAGCTAGCTACTGGCCACCCACTGGACAGAGCAGGTCTAAAGAAAAAAGTCAAATCTTCTAAAACATTTAAAAATGCTCATTTATTTTTAAAAACTGCTTATTTTCTTTCATGCAACATTAATTTTAACATAAATATTGCCTGTAGTTTATAATGAAAACTTTACTAATTTTGAAAACTACAGACTGGGAACTGAAAGTGAAGGTTTCTAAGAGCAGATATTAAATGTGGTATTACCAGGTGTGTTTAAATAAGTCTTTAAAACGTTACGACTTCCTATGCATTCTGCAAGACTGATGCTTACTTTAGGGAGTCATTACAGATATAACCTGAAATCTGATTAGTTAACGTAGGTATACTTGGGAAGTTTACCTAGCTCCTGGTCCACAGACTGGACATACACGTTTCTTGTACAAATATTAGTTCAAAAATCATATTTTCTCTTCCAAACAAGAAAGAATTCCCATTTTAAAAAACCTTTCTAAGGACAAGACTTTACGATACAGTCGTATTATCCTTCCAGATCAATAAAGAAAATGAAGAATTAAACTAAATAGTTCTGTCATGTACTAAATTAAGCACTTAATAACCTATCTTGAATAATGGTATATCTCACAAATCAATTTTTAAAAGAAGTATAAAAAACATTTCATTTGTGATTCAGTATCTAATCTTTCACCAGGAGTCACATATCCTGACAGAATTCATTCATTCAGACACTCTAAAAGCGTTAACGCAATGGATCTGCCCTGGCTGGTGTGGCTCAGCTGGTTGGAGTGTTATTCCATAAATTGAAGGGTTGAGAGTTTGATTCCCATTGGGGTACAGATCTAGGTTATGGGTTCAATCCCTGGCTGGGGTGTGTGTGAGAGGCAACCAATCAATGTTTCTTTCTCACATGGATGTGTCTCTCCCTCCCACAACCTCTCCCTCTCTTTAAAATCAATGACCATATCCTTGAAGAAGGATCATGAATGAATGAATGAATGAGTGCATTGCTAGATCTAACCTGCTTAATTTATTCAACCCTTTCCTCCTCATTTTGTAAATTATCTCTAAAAGTTATATACTGTTATAAATTTTGATATGATAGTTATATTTGCCTGATTTATGGTTACAACTTAAAGATACTTAAAATCAGTACTACATGGTTCTTAGTAAAAAGTTTAAGAGAAAAATTTAGAATGTTTTAACAAAAATCACACCTTTTAGAAATCAGAATTTACTGAGAAGGCAGAAATATTTTCTAGTCAAAGAAGGGGTAAGTAAATGTTTTACTGCTAAGCAGGAAAAAGGTAAATGAAGTTCTGCTTTTCATAGTTCGAGTTTGAAATTCTGTAATAGGAAATTTTATTCCTTTAGACAGATCTTATTTGTTTTAATAGTAAAGATGACCTAAGACAGGTCTTACTTCAGGTGTCTAAAAATCACCACCCGAGTTTGCTGTCCTTTCACTGTTCATCTTTTTTATCTTCTTTTTCTTAGATAAGTCCCTTTAACATTTCATATAATAAGGGCTTGGTGATGATGAACTCCTTGAATTTGATCTTATCTGAGAAGCACTTTATCTGGCCTTCCATTCTAAATGAAAGCTTTGCTGGATAGAGCAATCTTGGATGTAGGTCTTTGCCTTTCATGACTTGGAATACTTCATTCCAGAAATGAAGATCACATGGAGGGTTAGCAATAGGGGAGTGGGAGAAGGAGAAGGGGGGAGAAGGTACAGAAAATAAGTAGCACAGACGGTAGGTAGAAAATAGATGGGGGGAGGGCAAGAATAGTAGGGGAAATATAGAATTTAAAGAACTTGAGACACATGGACATAAACTAAAGGGGGGACATGGTGGGGGAGGGGGTGTGCAGGGTGGAGGGGAATGAGGGGGGGGGAATAGAACAACTGTAATGGCATAATCAATAAAATATATTTTAAAAAATTAAATAAAATAAAAATCACCACCCGAGAATGAAGGAGGATGATCACTATCTAAGAATGAACTGGAATGGGAAAAATAAATCCTTATCAATAGCTTTCCCAATGTGACCCAGTCACTCTCATGTGGCTGCTGAGCTCTGACTCAGCCCTAGTAACACACAGCATGACATCCACAAGCCTGGGAAGGGCCCCCATTTCAGTACACAGCAGTGATTCTCAACTGGACTGCACTTTTCAGGGGCACTTCGAAAATCTGTGGGATTAATTTTTGTCTTCTAGTGTAGTCTTGCTTAAGCATTACCATTATAATATTGTAATATAACTTACTGTCACTTTCTCTTTCCATTACAGTTATGGCATTTAATAATTGTAATGTTATTTTACAGTTATTTACTGTTATTTTACTGGTATTTACAGCTTTTTGAAAGGTGTCTGTGTACTTAGTACCAGAACTTCCAACTGCTCATCTGCTGCCTTCCTCGTTTTATCGCTCCAGTTTGTTACATCATCCTGGAGCAGATCCACCCCACAGACAAAATTAAAGAAATGAGAAAGAAGGGTCAATTGTATGAAATGTCTTTTGTATCAAGTTCATCACTTTTCAGTACATAGATTATGTTATTTTGTCTAATTTTGGTGCTTTGGAAACTGGTGTCTATTTTTGTATCAGTTTTATAATCTTCCTCAATAAACTAAGTATTTGAAGTTTCAAAATTGTACTAGGTAGGCACTGTTCACACTCAGCCAGGTTTTATAATTATACTTAAACCAGGAAAAGATAATTTCGTAAAAGTGCAATAAAGCTGAGAATCACAAAACACAGGTCAGAATATAACACACGTAAGAACAATTAACTAAAGATCATCACCATATAAATGATCTGTAATTTTCTCTATTGATAGATTTTAGAACTACCATAATTCCACACTATTTATATGAGCTTTAACTAACTTTTGACCATAACACCCAAGTCAGGTTTTTAAATTAATACTAAAAAAATTAAAGAGTATTTGCTTCTTTCCCCTGATGCCTATCTCACTTCAGCAAAAAAAGGGCTGACAGGGCTACAGGCTAAACTTTAATCAAGGAACGGCAGGAAAAATATTTAAACAAACAAACAAACAAACAAACAAACACTTCCAAGAGCCACCTGTAAAGCAGGAGGCACAAAGTCTGCCTGTGTTTAGCACTGGACGCGGAAGAGAAGAGAGCCGGTGGCGAGCAGCTCCAACTCACCGCTCAGAATCTGCTGCACGGCTTCATTTCCCATCTGCGCTGCGGTGAAGCCCTGTAAGGAGATGATGGATGGGTCGGAGCCGTAACTCAGCAGGAGGCGGCAGGTCTGCAGGTGGCCAGCGAGGGCAGCTCGGTGCAGAGCAGTCTGCCCAAGGGTGTCCAGTGCGTTCATCTGAAAAGTCATTGGGTGGGCACATGAGATGGAGCATCTGTTTTTGTTTTCTCTTATACTTAAGCAAATAAATTCAAATGAGAAGAAGAAATTGTCAAAGCTTTTTGAAAAAATGCAAAGATAATTCATTATTAACTTTAGTCACTGGTTCTCAAGACATATCATCTTATGTTATCCTTCTCTGACCACCTTACTGAAAATTACTACATACTTATCCCTTCCCTAAATGACCATCTTTCTGTCCATCCTCTGCACCCTGCCATTCCCCTGGATGACTGGAATGAGGGCTGGGACTTTGTCCGACATCCACTGCCTATCGCATTAAAAATGTACATTAAATACTTCTGAATGAAACGGTTTTATCCAACTTACTCTCAGAATATCAAAACAACATAGTATGTAAAAAAAATTCAAAGTAGTTCATTTCTTTTTTTAAGAGTGTCATAATTCTGAGTTATAAACACATTTAAGTCAGAAATAAAAAAGACTTAAATATGAAATGTTCCATTTTTAAGAGTTTGACGGGTATTAAGAATAATAATCTAGCTAGTTTTAAAACTGAGACGACATTGCTTCATGCTGGCGGATAACCTGTGTTCCAGGGTGTCCCACAAGCCCCTCCCACTGCGGTTGGGACCCACGCCCCTGTGCACTGTACACAGCGCTGCTTCCGAGAAGCCCTCCTTCCGCCTTCCTGCACTGAGATCTGGTCCAACCTCCCCCTCCTCTAAGAAGCCCTTCTTGATGACTTGAAGCCTTGATAATTACTTCCTTTCTGAACCTCTATGTTATAAATTATAACACTACAACAATTTTTGTTTACCAAATAAAACTAAGACTGTTGACACTACGGACTGCATTATGTTTCCTGGGTCCTCTGTAAAGCTCCTGTTAAGGGTGCACAGCAAATTCTCAAATACATGCTTGTTGGTTATTCAGAACGTTGGTGCACACCCACCAAATGCACAAGAAAGAAAAAAGGATTTAAAAACATTGATCTCCCTGTCCATCCAGTCTATCATCAATCGATACAAGTGAGGCTGTCGGACATGTTTAGGCAAGGGCTCATCTATTTATAATGGGGTTTCACAGAATTCGCCGTGGAATACTGACATATTTATCACCTCTGCCAACAGAAAAATGACCATCTTACATACAGACAGCATAAAAGTGCAGCTGTTAGCATGTACTGATGGAAAACGCTGCTTGAACTTTTCTATGAATATTTCTTTTTTTAAAACCTGTTTTTTTAAATCCTTACCCGAGGATATGCCTGCTGATTCTAGAGAGGAAGGAAGGGGGTGGGGGAGATAGCGGGAGAAGGAAGGATAGAGGGAGGGGCGGAGGAGAGAGAGAACGGTCGGTGGGCTGCCTCCTGCACTCGCCCTGACCAGGGATCAAATCCACAACCTAGGCATGTGCCCTGACCAAGAACTGAACCTGTAACCTTTTTGCGCCATTGCGGGTACAGGATGACACTCCAAACAACTAAGACACCCAGCCAGGCCTTTATTATTTCTTCACCTCAAGAAAAAAATGTAAATTTGAGAATATTCTCATTATTAACATTTTTCTACTAACTTTTTCAATCATCATGATGAAAATCCTCAATGTAGCTTGTTAAACCATGGGAACATGGTTTGAGAATTACTTGAGAATTATTACTCTGAAATACAGAATTTACCAAGTTATTCCTCAGCTTAGTGACTGTTAAATGCCTTCATTTAAACTTGAATGAATCCCTCCACATGTCACTTAAGACCAGCGACAATTTACTTTTACACTACCTTGCTTTCTGCTATATATATATATATATATATATATATATACACACACACACATATATATATATATATATATTTTTTTTTTAATCACAGTCTAATAGGGCTGCCATACCCTAGCTTTATTAGATTATACTGAAGCCCCACTCTATGACGTTTCTAAAGTCACCGTAAAAGATAAAATACGCCGCCTTTGGTTGAACTTATCCTTGCACACACCTTAGCAATGCAAAGGAAGGGGCAGATGTGGAGTTTCTCGGTAAATCTAACGGCAGCCAGTTTTTACCTCCAGTGTCTGAGCAGGTCGACTGAAGAGCAGGTAAAGTACAGCCAGTATTTTTAAACATCAAAAACACTATGTGTAAGAAGAGCTTCTCTCTATACATGTGTATGGTGAACCCGAGGCACAATATAGAAAACAGCGGATTCACACTCTTTCATGATTATATTTTAAATGGCTATATAAATAAGTATCTGCATAAACCTGTTGATTTTGTGTCTTGACACTATAACCCAGGGAACAGGTGGTGGGCATTTTACAGCCTTTTTAGCTTGAAGGTAAAAAACATGATCTCATCCCTCTTTACAAAAATCTTAAAAAGTGCTTTTTGTTGAATATTGCCGATTATCATGCCAGGTATTATACATGTACCTTGAGTCTCTATGTCTGTAATTGGTTTTCTATGAGAAAGGAGTCTCACAGGAAGTATCTACCTTCCTGAAGCAGGCTTCTGTTCATGCCACCTACCTATTAACAAATGTCCACTGGCTCTCCAAGTACCATGAGAACAAATCACAACCCTCCACTGAGACTACCCAGATCTTGCTCCAATGTGCCTTTTCAGAGTTTCATTATTCTTCTGTATTTAGTAGACTAATCATAACTTCTAATAAATTCTCCTTAGCTAAACTCGAGTGTACTATTTGTGAACCTTCAAAATTCACGCGGAATTAAAAACAAGCTCTCCAAAAGGAGGCATGTATAAATATTACAATAATATGTCACTGCTTTAGTAAAGGGGTGCTTCCCTTCTCCCGTGCCCTAAGTGCCCGAGAAAGAGCCCCCTGAGTGTCCTGGTCAGCACGGACACCAATCCAACAGCGGTGCTGAGCACACCGCCGTCTCACCCATGTTCTCCCTTCCTCATCCCTAAGACTCGAGAGAGGTGGTATGCACAGGAGGCACAGTTCTAAGTCAAAGACATAAGGTAGGGGCTGCAAAGGCCATATTCAGACTGTATAAAAGAAAAACAGGAAAATATAGTCTATCAAAATGAAAGATGAAGCAGATGAACAAAGACTGACAGAAAAAAGAAACTCACACAACCTCAGAGAGAGAGACAAAGGGGAGAATGGCAGCCGAGGCACCCGAGGGTTCCCAAATTCCTGTTCTAGTCTTTTGTGACTCTTAGCTACAATTCCTACAGATTATTTCTACAGGATAACCACATGATTATCTCAAAAAAGTAATAAGCATACATTTACATAAGTACAGAATAGAGCTCCATTTGTGCTGAATCTAAACTTACTTGCTCTGTTACTGGTAACTAGTATGTCTCTGAGACACTGGCCTCTTTGGTGTATTTTGATACAATCAAACCTCAGATATTATTTGAACTATAAAAGATACACTGGAACTATAGCTTTAAAAGCACTTTTAACACCTGTGGGCTAACAGAATATGCCTATCAACACAATTTCTCCTTTCATATACAATATAAGTCTGTCAACTTAAGACGAGAAATCAGAAGAAATTTTGTTATCTTCTACACATTTAACAGATGCTCACTAATGACAAAATAGCAATGCTTTTATGTATGGAAAAAAGTACCTCTGAATGAAACCTTTTGTTTTTAGGTATTAATAATACCAATCACAATCAGGGCTCAAGTTCTACTAAATAATAAGAGCAGACAAGGAAGGAGCAAGAGAATGCAGGATGCCAGGGTAGACTAGCAATAATAAAAAAAAAAAACTGATGTATAAAAGATAAAATCTCTATGTCACTCCTGTTTAGGCTTATAGTCGTCTTACAAAGCAGAGCATTCATAAAGAAAATTATTAATTTTTTAATATATAGAAGTTTACCATGATAAAAGTAGATTTCTCACATAAGTTGGTTAATATCCCCACCCTATTATAATCCTCCTTTCCTTACTAGCCATTCGTTTTCTATTTTTTTTGCTAAATATTGCCTGCTTAATTACCCCTCTGAGTCCAAATCCAGTCTCCACCCTGTTATCTGTGTCTTAGGAAAATCACTTGCATGGATCACATCAATGGGCTCTTGTGGTCTTGAACTTCTTGTTGTACTTGGCCAATGGGAACAGTAGCAGGAATAGGGTTGGAATACCTGTCAAATGCTGCAGGCGTGGTCAGGTGGCCTTTTCTACATGGCTATTTCCCTTTCTGGTCCCAGTGACCTTTTCCTTTCCTTGCCCTTTAGGCCTAGGGATGATACCATCTCCCCACTTGCTACTAGCACTACCTCGTTCCTTCTTGATTTCCTTAAACTTGCCCACACCTTTGTATATAATTTCTTTATTAAATGGTCCTCAAAATACCCACTTTGAGTGTGCTGCTTATTGCCAAGACCTTAACTGTCTACTTCTATCTTGGAATGCCTCCTTCCAAAGCTACCAAAGCCCTCACGTGACAATTGCCAAATTCAATGCCACTGTTTACCTTGATTCCTCTCTGTAGCACTGACTGATCACTTGTTCTTCCTTCCTCCTCCTATTACACTCAGTAAACACCGAGACAGGCCTTCCTGTCCCCTCTTCCCCTGCACTGCAACATGGGCCAACCTCAAAGGTTCCTCCTGCCTCCCAACTCGCCTCTCCATCTTTCTCCCACAGGAGCCCCACTCATGTCCGCAATGTATGGTTGCTATGTTGCTGGCTGCCCCATAGATATTTCTAATCCTAAACTCTCTTTTATTTACATTACAGTGATTTATTTCCAACTGTTAGGTTTATCTAAATGTTCCTCCATCACAGCGATTTTCAACCGGTTTGCCACAGCACCCTGGTGTGCCGCTAGATTTTTTAAAACACTCAATACCTGATCTCAGGGGCACTGACCTCTTTTTCCTTAGACCATCAAATAAAAAATGACAAGAGCCAACACAATTTCCAGTGTGAATGAACCAAAATTATACCTATTTTTATTGTCAGATCAGCAAAAAATATATTTTTTGGTGTGTCCCAGAATTTTAGTCACTAGCTTGTGTGTGCCATGAGATGGAAAGGTTGAAAATCACTGCTCTGGCATATTAACTTCCAGTACCAAATCACTGTCATGGCATAGGAAAGCAGTATTTCTCTCTAGCCTTTTTACTTCCATTTTCTAAGACCATTCAAATGCCCAATTCATTTCCAAGGAATGTAATTAGTCCTTCACAAGTGGCTTTCATCTTTTTCTTCCTTCTTCATTACTAATGCCATTCAATTGGTTTAAGGTTAGCTTCAAGTTTGATAACTACATTAACTCCAAACTGTCACCTCCCTCAGTACCCAACACACAGTCTTGATCATTTTGCATCTCAGGATTTGTTGAGTTAGTGAATTGAAAAGTTATAAAGGGATTTTATATATATATATATATATATATATATATATATATATATATATATATATAAAATATAAAAAGTCAGATAATTAAGGGAAATTCATAGTATATAAGTTTGAAAAAACAACAACAAAAAAATAATGCTCATACTTACTAGTAAAGTATTACTTGTGAGCTCAGATAAGGTTCAGGGAATTAGGTCCAAAGTCACAAAACTAGAAAGCGGAGGAGTCTTAAGCTGAGAAGTGTGCCTGTCTATATTAATACACAAAATATGTTTAGTCTAACATGCAAAAGAATGCTTTGGCTCGTATAATTACTACTAAGTTCTTTCTAAGTGAGACGTTAATTACTGGTGGTAACTCCCCCTGCCAGGTTCCCTGCCCTTCCTGATTCATGGCCTCAGCTGGAGAATGGGCCTCGTCCTGAAGAGCAGGCACAAAGGTGGACACAGTGCAAGAGGGCAGAATCTTCATTCAGGGCTGGTGCTGCTCGTTTTGTAGGTGTTTTTAAAATCAAATGGGAAGCCATGAGGTACCTGAAAATCAAACTGAAACCACAAAGAAAGAACACTAAGCAAGCACACATTAGGGCCCACGGTGGCTAAGTTGGGTTTTTACTAATGCACTAGTCACCAGATAAACCAACTCTGAGGGACAGCAGCATGTTTTGGAACCAGGGAAGGAGTGACTGGGCGGATGGCAACTGGTATCCATTGGTTCACAGCCCGATAAATAGGACGCCCCCCTCCCATTTTAATGTACCTAGTAACAGGTATTCTGAATTACCTAGTAACAGGCATTTGGGATTGAGTTGAACTACAGTGGAAAAACTAGGGAGAATATGCAAGTTTAAAAGTCATTCTACATCACTGCCAAGGTGTTTAAAAGTATACACGCCCTACTGATGAATGTTGACATTATTGATGAGCATGCACTGTGAACATGAAGGGCAGCCAAAGACTGAGAACAGACCTGGAGTAACGCCGACTAGGATAGGTTATAAAATGATGTTATTTTTCACTGAACCTTCATGACACAAAATGACTCATGGGAGACAATGAATAGATATTTTCCCAAAACGAAGAGCCTTATTCATGGCTTTTTAAGAACATTACAAATACCATATGGTTTTTAATTTTTTTCATATTATTTTTAAAGATTTTATTTACTTTTAGAGAGAGAGGATTTTATTTATTTTTAGAGAGAGGGGAGAGAACATCGATATGGGAAAGAAACATCGACCAGCTGCCTCCTGCACGCCACCAAATGCGGACCTGGCCTGCAACCCAGGCATGGGCCCTGGCCAGGAACTGAACCAGCAACCTTTTGGTTTGTAGGCTTACACTCAATCTACTGAGCCCCACAAGCCAAGGTGCTACAACGTATTTTGAAAAATAGGTCAATGATAAATGTGATGCTCTTAAGTGTAGCAGAAAGCCCACTTAGCTTAGTATTGTTTGCTCAAAAGCAACAAGACCTTATTTATGTAATAATACAGTACAGTACCCTCAAAACAGGTGATAAATCTGTAAAACTCTGTTCCCTTTCATTTCATCTCATCCTGATTTTTTAGTTAAAAACAATGTCTTTTTAAAGCAAGGATAGCCACATTTTTGGATCATGTATTTCATGAATATAAAATATTTTAAGAACACTCAATATACATGCGCTCATCTCTAAATTACAACCAAGCAGTGTTCTGCTAATGCATAATATGTATAAAACTTTTAGAAAAAGAGTAATTACCAAGGGCAGAAAAGAGATGAAACAATTAAAAATTTAAAAATATTTCAATTACCAATGGTACAAAATACCTTTCGGCTCAATTAAAAACAACAGAAAAATCCTTTACAAGCTGTGACGGAGACACGTGGGCCTGACTCAGCGCTCCTTCCAATGGCGGGTCCCAAGGCTGAGGAGGCTCCCCCAGACACGCAAAGCCACTGCAGAGACTGCCTTGTGAGCAACGCCTTCTCAATCGCGTGGCTCATTTTCCATGGAATTTACTAACTACACTAAGGTTTGAACTGACATTCTGCTACTAAGATTGCATCTTTCTTGATGTTCTTATGAACTTACAAGGAGATGCTGCACTAACATGTTTTTAATAGATTCAAAAACTATCTAAACACAAATTAAGAAAGACTTAAAACAGTTTAGAAATTGGTTTTCAAAGTTTTTAATTTTATAGCTAAGAGAGCTGGGTGGATATAGTTACATCATTTTGGAGGCAAAAAAATTAAAAAAGACAATGGACATTTTCTAAAAATCTATTTTCAAAACATCCTCTTCATTTTTAAAAGTTTCTTTTAAAACTCAGTTACTTTCTCATTCATTCTAAAATATGTAACTTTTACCTTTAAGGGTCTGATGATGTTTCATTTTTCAGAAAAGTACCTATATACAAGTAAGTCATTTGTTGTCAAAAAAGTATCAGCAAATTTTGAACTCTTATTTTTATTAAAAAAAAGCATAACACTAAGTATAATAATTCCTGAAAATATTCATTCATGAACTAGCCAGACAACCTCTGTGTGCTGTCAGACTGCCACGGTCACTCCCTCTTACCATCAAAATGGCACTGATAAGCGTTCTCTCACTGGTTAGGGTAATATCCATACATCTCCTGAGTGGGACCCATGTAGAGTGCAATATGCCGAGAGGTGTTGAAAATGAACAGGTGAGTGAGGCTTTCACCGCCGGCCCCTCCCCAGCCAGACTCCCACTCTTCCTTAGGAAACACCTTGGGCTGGGACGTGGCCCAGACAAGCTGACGCATGGACCTAATGAGGTTGCCAGCATAAATCTGCACAGTAACTATGAACAGATCTTAATCCCTTTATTCTTAAATAAAGATTACTATTTTAACAAATTAAAACTCTGTAGTGTTAAGGTTATTTGAAAAAATTATCATTATCAGTTTGAAGAAATACAAATGTTCATTAAAATAAATAGCGACATTTTGACTACTATTTATCTAAATTAGTTTCTGATAAATCATCACTGGTGTTGACTACAAAAGTATATCAATTTCAGTATTAAAATAAAATAATACAAAGTTGAAATGTATTCCAAATGCTAAGACTATAGTTACACTTTATTGTTTTATAGAATGATAGTAAATTACAATGAAACTCAGGTAAGTCTTTTTACTAGTGATAAGATTTAAATCAGCTTTAAAGGAGAATCAGTGAATTCAAATACACATGAACAATCCTTTATAAAATTATTTTCTCTCTGATTTTCTGAAAGAAATGAACAGCCTTGTGAGCAGCCGGCCAGGCAATGCCAAGGGCGGCACTGTCTGTCCGGTGCGCGCCTCACCTTGGCCCCGTGCTTGTGAAGGACCTCCATGACGTCGTTGTGGGCTCTCTCTGCGGCCACGTGCAGCGGGGTCATGAAGCTGTGGAGAGCAGAGGAGGCGGTTCACTAACCCTGGAGCACTTCCCCGTTAAGAACCGAACTACTGCAACTGCACTTACTCTTTATTTTTCTCATTGACATTTGCTCCTTTTCTAAGTAACAATTCGGTCACTTGTTTTCGCTTGGGATGCAGGGAGGCCACAGCACAGTGCTGTAAAGGAAATTAAGGTAAGTTAGTAAAATAAACTTCGATTTAAAAGTAGATTTCTGAACTAAGTAGTACATGCTGACTATTTAGAATACTGTTTTCTCAAAATGTATATTTTACATTATCAAGATGATCAAAATTCCTCCTAAGTATCCTAGAAGTACAAAAATGTAAGTCTTGAAAGAAAGATGAAATTATGCTCTTAGTTAAGCACCATGAGAGACTTTTTTCTTTTCCTTTAGCCAACACATAGTTATCCAGTCTATGTCTACTTGCAGGTATGGGGATACTGTCTCTCCAAAGCTACAAAATCTCTAACTGAATTGCTCAGTCCTGCATGAGGCTGTCAGCCACGTAATCACCGCTTCTCCGAGCCCTCCACACAGGTACTCCCCGTGCTACAGAGAATGAGCCTTCATGCCCAGGGACAGGCAAGGAGCTGAGGGACCTCACCGAGTTCAGAGGGAGAAGTACTCTCAGAAATTGTGTTTCTTCCTAGATTTATACAACGTTTAGATTCAAATCCATTTTATATTAATGTTTGTGTTAAAATTTAAAAAGTAAAAAACTATTCACAGTAAGTAAAATGAACACTCCAAAAAGCAGGTCATGTTTGTTCTGTGACTTTGAGTGTCTCCTGGCCTAAGGTGGTGTGGCATGAACGTATTTGAATCCCAGTGTGCGGGCCATATATGTAGGTGAAATACAGCTGGATCATTTCAGTTCCGTGACACTTGTGCTGCTGTTGCCCCATGTACTGCTGGCGGCTGGACTAGTTCTGGGCAGGCACCTGAGAGAATGTTAACTGAGGAGTATTGAGAGATCTGCAACGGAGGCGTCTCAAGTGTTTGAATTCTGAACTCAGGAGCACTCTAACCAGCCCTACACCTGAAGGTTAACCTATCTGGTCAGTCCCAATGAACACGGACTAATTTTTCTAGAAGTACCTTGGAAAGGAAAACATGAATAACTAAAGACAACTGGTACGGTCTGGAAAAAAACTCTCACAGTCTTACCACTTTTTCTAATGAATTTACTAATTCTTAGAATGTAATTACTCGAAAGGATAATGCAAGTATCTCTGAAAATACTGTAATCTTCTATAGAAAAGAAATATGTATTTGTCTAGCAACCACAAGAAAAAGAAGATTGTATAGAGAAGATCACGTCTTGCATCTGGGAAAGCACTGGCCACACAGGGGGATTTGCCGTAATATGCGAATCCACCTTTGGGTATTTGGGTTGGTAAATACCCCTTTTGGTTGTATTGGGTTGGGTAAAAACAAATGTAAAAATAATTCCCAAATCAAGGTTGAGCAAAAGTCTATTCTCACCCTGAAAACCATCACCTCTTGAACCAAATTTAAAAAAATTAATCCAACCAACATTAAAATGGAAATCCCTGTCACTTCCAATACCACAGCTATTTTAAGGTTCTAAAATGAAAACCATATTTTGTGCTCACATCACTATTAAAAACCCACAGGAGGGATTAACAAGAAAGTCTTACCAATGCGGTTTCATGAGACTGCGGTTGTTTGAAATTAATGATTTCCAAGGCAAGTGTTTTTTTAACTTTGGCTAGGTCTGCTTCTCTGGCTGCTTGCAGTAAGGAATGGCCTTTAAATTCATCTGTTAATACAATAATGGTTGACATAAGAAAAATTTAAAAACTATAAAATCATTAGCATAATTACAAATTATGAAAATTATTAACTTCAGACATTCTCTACTTTAGCAAGAGCAGCAGCATGATGATACAGTGATAAAGGTGCAAAGATTGAGGGTGTATGTAGTTTACTGAAAAAATTATGGATTAGGTATGCTCTAAAATAAGACTGGTTAGTACTGTTTAGTACTAACTGGTTAGTACTGTTAAGAGTTCACAGAGATACACACACAAATATGCTCACTCCAGGCAAGTTTTAAAACAAGAATCCTAACTGTCCACTAAATGGAAATCAGTTAGGTAACTTGTGAACACTTCTCTGCTGAAATACTTTGTGTCTCTTAGAGAGAAAAGGTCGACCTATATTTACTGCCCGAAGTATGTACTATTAAATGCAAATTCAAGTACAATAAGAGGAAGGATAAAATGACCCAGTTTTTTTGTACTGTTACTACTACTGTTGCCACCACAGCTAAATGTAAGTAATAATGTAAAAAAAGACATTTAGAAAAATATTCACCAAAATATTATGCAATGATTATGTCTTGACAGGGAAGGAACTGAATTATGGAAGAAGTGCCAGAATTTGAAATTTTTCAAAGAACAATTAGCATTTTATTTATTTTTGTATAAGCAAGAAAGAGATAATTAAAAAGGAATTTCTAAATTAATTGCATAAATAAGTATCCAATACTTTAAAAAGATTTTTGAATCTTTAAAAAAAGATTTTCTTTATTTTTAGAAAGAGGAAAAGGGGGGATGAAAGAGAGGGAGAGAAAAATCAATAAGTTGCTTCTCCCACACTTCCAACTGGGGACCTGGCCCGAAACCCAGGCATTTGCCCTGGCTGGGAATTGAACCAGCAATCTTTTGGCTTGCAAGATGGCTCTCAATCCACTGAGCCACACCAGCCAGGGCAGAATCCAATCCTTTTATTTATTAAAAACATATAGTCTTATTTTGTATTTTACAAGTTTGGTTTTTATTTTGAAATGACAACTTATTAACAAAAAGCTGAAAACTGTTCTCTAAAGATGCACAGATGGCCAACAGACATAAAAAGCTGCTGAACACCATTAATCATCTGGGAAATGCAAATCAAAACCTCACACCTGTTGGAACAGCTATTGTCAAGAAGCTAACAAATAACAAGTGTTGGCAAGGATGTGGAGAAAAAGGAACCTGTGTAGTATTTACTGGTGGGGTTGTCAAGTGATGCGGCCACTACTGGAATAGTGTAAAGGCTCCTCAAAAAAGCTCAACAGAGAGCCGCCATACAACCCAGCAATTCTTCTTCTGGGTATTTATCCAGAGAAAACACAAACACTAATTTGAAATAGCATGTGCACCCTATGTTTACTGTAGCACTACTTAAAATAGCCAAAGTATAAAAGCAACCTATCAGTCGAAGGACAGACCAATGGATAAAGATGTGGTCAAAACAAAACAGAAACACACTCACAGACACAGAGAAAAACTGACATTTGCCAGAGGGGAGGTGGGTGGGAAAATGGATGAAACACATAAAGGAAATACAGAGGTGTAAACTTCCAGTTATAAAATAAATAAGTCACAGAATGTAAGGTACAGCATAGGGAAAATATTAACACTATTGTAATAACTTTGTATGATGATAGATGGTTACTAGACTTACTGTGGTGATCACATCGTAAGGTATGTGTTATTCACCTGAAACTAATATATCACTGTATGCTAACTCTACTTCAATTAAAAAAAGACACAGACACCTAGGCACACGTGTCTTACTAACTACTGCTCATTATTCAAGGCCTCAGTTTGGATCCTCTGATGAGCCTTCCTATGAAGTCCACCACACTCACATTCAGCCTGTGGTCACAAGGCATATCACACTGTCTTATCTGCTATGGCAGTCCTATTGCCTACACAGTGCATTAGCTACTTGGTCAGCATTTGTTGCATGAATGATGAATATTTATAAAATAACAGTCATGGTAGGCTCATGGAAAGAATTTTTTCAATATAATATTTTGTTTAGAGGTACATTATCACTACTAAATGCCTCAAAATACAGGATTTTGAAACTTCAGAAACCCCACATCCAAGTCAAATGAAAGTAAACCAGTATTTTCAAACAACAAAATTGTAGATTAAGACAGAATTAGGGATAAAGTGAGAGAATTATAAACTGTCACTTGTAAGGAGCAGGATCCTGATAACTGTGAAGGAAGGTGGTATTAAAAGCTAATTTCAAGTAAAATGTATGGTTTTGCTTTGCTCATCCATTCATCTAGAGAAGTCACTCCTTTAAGTTCAGGAAAGTTGGCTCAGAAGAAAACTAAATGGGCAAATTTATGAAAAACATAAACAGTAAGATTGCAGTACTAAGGAATTATGAAGCAATAATGCAATTAAACAGCATTAATATTTTCTCAAATAACAGGAAATAAAATATTGTTATCCTAGCTCTTTAAAAAAAAGGACAGTTTTCTGTTCAAATTGACTTCCAAATTTAAAATATTTCATTGATAAATACTCGAGATTAAAAAAATAACCCAGAAAAAAAAAAAGCTATCATTATATAACTGTCCCTGTAAATGCAAGGGTTACATAAAGGTTTGTTTTTAAAACCTCAGGTAAGTGAAGTAGTTTTAAAAAAGTGGCAAAACTGCAAATTACTCAAACTTACCCTGAAAACTTAATATTTATAAAATGCCTTAAAAGTTTCTCTTTTCAAATGCAGTATGAAACAAGACTGAAAGCTACAGTATTTTTAGCTCCGATTTTGTGCAGAACCCAACTACCTTGTTCATTTGGCTTCATAAAAACAGCAAATAAAAAGAACAGACAAGGGCAGAAACAAAATGTGTGTGATGCAAAATGCTATCAGCACAGGTCTGATAAAAATACCGTTTTTGTGATCTATCTGATGTTCTTAAAAAGCGTTCTGTAATTGTGGACACCTGGGGAAAGCAGGGGGCATGAAGATGAAAAGTGGGTTAGAGAAGTTCCAACTTCATTAAGCCCTTTTCTTCAGATAATTCCTTGGTAGAATCTTGTTAAATAAAATAAAGGAGACACTGAGAAGTTCACAAAGTTGTCATGGAATTTCTTCCTTTATACAACTATACAAATTTAGGTTAAATCTTCATGTTTAGGTTAGAATCAGACCAATGAGATATAATTCAAAATCTCATAATGGTAGTCATGCTTTGCAAAATGATTGAAAGGAAAAAAAAAAAGTAAAATGGTGCCATGGGGATTAAGCGGAGCCCCGGGTACAAAATTAAAGAAGGAAACGAGAAACAGATTAAAAAATTAGTTCCGAGTAGAGTTAAGCTCGACTCAATAACCTGAGCACAGGCACAGTGCCCTGCGCTCGGTGGGGGCGGGTGGAGACGCAGGCCTGCACACAGGTGCCACCCACGCAGGGCACTGCGCAGGTGCTGAGGACGCAGAATTTACACCCCAGGTCTTTCCGGAAGTTAAACTTCTCTGGGAAGACAGGACACACACAAAGAAACAGGAACTATATAATGCAAGACAACAGAATGCAAGACTTGTCCGAGTGGGAGAGAGAAGTGCGCTTCTACGAGGGTTGGCTGCCGAGACATCTGCCCAGCTATGATCGGGTTTGCCCGGCCTGTAATCTAGTAGATCTCATCTGTTCCGGTACCAAAATAATTTTAAATTTCCACTGAAGATCAAAATTGAAAAGATCTCTTTATGTTTTAACATAAACTAGCCTAAAATTTGCTTTAATGTAAAAGATGTTAACATAATTTTGACTATGCCCCTTTCCTAAAGCTATCATTTAAAGATTTCTCAGATGTTTAAATCCAGTTACCTGACTCTTAGAATCCCAGATATAAGAAAGAATACCAAACGATAGACCAGTTAAAAAAATAGGTGAGTAATGCCTAGTTCAACTTAAACCTGAAATGCTCATATACAGAATTAAATATCTCTCAATATTTGATATGACAAGTAAAAGTAATATGGTATCCTAAATGAGATCCTAGAAAAGAAAATGCATATTACATAAAAACTAAGAAAATGTGAACAGAGTATGCCCCTCAGTTAATAATGTTATCAATACTGGTTTCTTAATTGTGACAAATATTCCATATTAATGTGAGGTGTTAATAACAGTAGAAACTGGGTATGGGGGATATGAGACCTCTGTAATGTTTTTATGACTTTTTTACAAACCTAGAACTATTCTAAAACAAAGTTTATTTAAAGTATATGTGTGTGTATAATATTACATATTTAAAAATATATATAATATATATACATATTATAAAGTACTAGTACATATAATATATATACATATAACATGTATTAGTATTTTAGATTACCTCCCCCTAACCTAAAATTTATCTCCACGTAAATGCGGACAAGATTTTACTTGGGGTCTAGCACACTCAAGAAACAAAGCGTGGCCGCACAGCACTGCAGGGCTGGGCAGCGGCGAGTGCTGGGTAACGTTAGCTGTCACCTACCCCAACCACAGCACAGGAATATGAGCTCTGTGAGCGCCGAGATCTTCTTCTGGTTTTATGCTGCTGTATTTCCATTGTATAGCACATAGTAGGTATCAATAAATGGTTAGTGACTGACTCATCCTCAGCCTTAAAAAAGGCGGTGGTGGGGGGAGTCTTACCTCGTGAATTAGAATAGGTTTGAATAATAAATAATATGAATATAAGTTTCTTGTGGAATCATGAAGAAAAGTATATGATCAGAAATGAGGATTTTAAAGTAGTGTACGTGTCAGAATGGAAGATATCATCCAAGTCAGATAAAACACCAGCCCTAATAACTAAACAAAAATGAGATACTCTAATTTGCAACAAACAACGGTAATTTCAGAATATAAATACATACAAGTCAATCTCTCCCGGAGCTCAGGAGTTGGAGCCATGTCCACAGCGCTCTTCCCATGGCAATTGACTAAAGTGGGATCAGCGCCATGGCTGAGTAACAAAGAGCAGACTTCCACACGATTCTTGGAAGCAGCCTCATGGAGCGGAGTGAACTGCCAGAGATCCATAGCATTGACACAGGCTCCATGCTGAGTTGAGAATAAAAAGTTTTAGGTCAGTAATCATTTCGCTGGATCAAATAAAACTTAGAAGACATTTATTTCACTGTAAATGTCAGATAACAACTCTTTCAAATGTCAATGAATATTTTAATTATAGCTTTTAAAAATAGTTTAAAGTAAGTTGAATGTTTTAAAATTTTAAGCAATGGTAATATTTTTAAAAATTGTTTTATTCTCTTAAAAATCTTATTCAGTAAAAACACATGAAAAAAACTCATGACAAGTTTAAAAGCAGCAAATAAAATTCAATATTTTAAATTTATTTTACCTTTAGTAGCAGTTCTGTGACTTCGTAATGTCCGTATGAACATGCATTATGAAGAGGCACAAGTCCACTAAGTGAAAAAAAGGCAAATGAAAATACTGAAATTAAACAACTTATTATAGTCATTTATCCAAGAAGTGCTAAGAAACAAAAATCTAACCAATCCCAATATAATTATATTAAAGATATTTTAAAGTATTTAACTAGATGATACAAAACACAGTTACTGTTTAACCTTTTGCATTTATTTTGTATTTTGTGTCTATAATCCTTAAGTATTGATAAAAACACCGATTAGAAAAGCATTTAGGCAAACGAAGAACATATGCTAATTGACAATTGCATGCTTTAAATATAAAGTATTTACAGTAAATAAATGTTAATGGGTAGAGAACTGAAATATTCCGACCATTCTGTTTGACTTTCAAAGTAATTTCCAGCATAAGAAGAAAAAGTCCAAACTACTCGAACTTGCATTTCAAAGTATCACTCTACCAGTCAGAGGCCCCCCTGTGCTGTATTTCCCCTGATGCCTCACCTATTGTGCACCCATCTGTTTCAGACATACGCAAGGAAACAGATGTACGAGAGCACCCGGCGTTTGTAGCCCTATTCTGTTGGGACGCCACTCACGCATGGCCTAAAACCTGGCGCGGGCAAGAGAGAAACAGGGCACGGAAAGGAGAAGGTCTGAGGGGGAGGGGTTCCCCTCTGAAAACTCTCTCAAGTGCTGAGTTCTTTCTTCGTTTACATGTTTCCTGACATAGAAAGGGGCAAAGTGAAAGAAAACCCTCCTCCGGGGCTTCTCCTTTTTATGCTGCCAATTCCAAGAGTGTATGTATTACAAATCTACTTTAGTTGGGTAGTAAGGTCAAATGATCTTTTTCATCTTAAAGTGGAATAATGAGAAATGTTAGCCCATCATATAGGACAGCAGACTTGATTCCTATATCTCTGGAGACTAGACAGGAAAGTGGTACAGAGTTTTCCAAAATACACCTTCTCGCACAGTAAATGGCATCACTGCTTTCTTTGATGCCCCCTCGCCCACTCCCGTCAGCCTTCATAAGGAACTTTTAGGTTTTCCCAGGTCAGATATCCAAGATTCCATTGGGAAAAAGCCAAATTAGAATACTGCATACTTAGGATTTTGGTTTATTAATAAGAGATGATCCTTTCATGCCAGATGAATATGATAACTATATTAGAAGATAATCAGAATTTAAAATTTGCTTTATATGTCTTTCTAATATGCACCTTGAGTTGAAAAATAATAATGGCAATTGAGAAACAAATTTTAACTTCAAATATTAGAATTGCAATAAAATTAAACTAATTAAGGAAACTATAATGAGAAGCAGCCTTAGTAAGTAGTACATGAAAATCAAATCAAATCAAAGTTGCAAACATTCTTTGCAAACATTCTTAAAATGCAACCCAAGCTGTAAAAAATGGGCCATAAGACCCTCTTTGCCTAGGGCTCAGCAACTCGGGCACATCAGATGTTGAAAACAAAGCATCACAACCCACGAGCGAAACCATTAAAGGGAATAATGAACACACCTACCCTTTGTCTTTCGCATGGACATCAGCCCCGTGCTGGAGAAGCAGCTGGACTATTCGAACTCGGTTGTAGCCCGCTGCTAGATGCAAAGGAGTGGACTAGAAAACACGAGAAACCCACATTCACTTCCTCAGGTACGTAAATCTTGCTTTGTCATTTAATCTAGATTTGTTTAGATTCATTTAAACCAATGAATGTTAACACACACAGACACAAAAGTACTGGGCTGAAGTGCCAAACTTTGTATTTCCTACCTGGATGAGAGACAATTCACTCAGGTTCAAGAGCAAATGCTAGTTTCAGCGCCACCCACCTGCTTCTCACTTGTCAGTGAAGGCCTCTGGTGATGGAGGCCTGCCTGCCTTCTCAGTGTGGTTTCTGACTCCCTCCGGCCAAAGCCCCTCCCTGTCCTGAGAGATATGCCAGCGCTCCCACCGCTCATAACCGGAAACGTTCTTCCTTGGCCTGTTTAAATCCTGTCCCCCTTTCAAGTTCTAACTCTTCAATCCCATTCCTACAATAAAGACGTACTCAAAATTCCTCTTAAATAGGAAAGGTTGAAAAGCCTCCCTTGGAAACTATTGGAAGAAACTTTAGTGGAAACAAAAGGGACAGCGGACCATATTCGTCCCACGCAGCTGCGAGCAATGGGTCAACACCAATTTGCTACATTGCATGCAATGAAAATGCCAAGGTAATATTTCATTCTTTTATTATTTTATATACTACACATGCAGTATTAATACAAGAAGAAAAGAAAGTTTCTTCCCAACTAATTCCTGCCACATTTTAATTTGAACCAAATTACTGACAGGGTCTTTGTTGAAATTCAATATAGTAATGGAAATAAACTCAACTTTTTAAAAATCAGAAATAACATCATTTAATTAAAAGTTTCTCTGTAACCACAGCCATTTTTCCACTTTTGCTCATTCCCTTGGTTTAAATACTGTAATATCTTTTCACACAGGGTCTAATATACTTGTATATTCTCTAATTTTTCCTGTTTTCTATTTGGGCCTTGAGATTTAATAAGGTTTTCAATTTCTTTTCCCTTACATACTACTCCAAATGTCAAGATACCAAAGAATTACTAAATATGTATTACCTATTACTGCATTCATAGCACTTCACACATTTTATATGTTCTGATTGCCTGTAAAGTTTAAAAAATATTATTTGAGCAAAACGCAGCTAATAACGAGGAGACCTCAGAACAAGAATACTGAATAGGAAGTCAAGAAACCTGATTATATTCCTAGGTCTTATGAAACTAGAAATCATATTACCTATGTGTTTTAGCTTCTTCATGTGTAAAACAGATAAAATCACCCATCCTAGCTATCTTAAAAATGAGTGAAAATAAAGTCTTCTCCCATAGAAAAGCACTTTTAAAATATAAAATGCTATATAAAAATAGATTAAAATTTTTGTATCATCAAACAACATGCCCATCCAAGTGTCTACTTTTTAGACACATGTCAAACGTTACTGCAAATAATACTTCCGTGGTGGGTGGAGTTACTTTCAAGGACTGTTCTCCCCCTTCCATGTGGTTTATCTTCGGACTTGCATTGTTTCAGACTAGACATCTGCCAACATGCTTAACTCTGTTCCTTTGTACATGTAGTCATGTGGTTTTTCTCCCTCTGGATGCTTTAATAATATACTCTTTATTACCGGCTTTAAGCAATTTGATGATGTACTGTAGTATAGTTTTCTTAACCACCCCCCCTCAGGTTGTTGAATCTTCCTTTATAGTTTTCACCAAATTTGGAGAACTTTCATTTATTATTTCTTCTAATACTTTCTCTGCCCTCTCTTCCACCATTCTCTCCTTGGGAGTCTCCAATTACACATATATGAGGTTGCTTTCAAAGCTTGCTTTTAAACTTTGTTAAGCAGGCCTGGTTTCTCTTTTTCGGTGAGGCATCACCCTTCTGAGTGCTCTATGACATCTAGTGAATGATGAGGTTTGCCCACTCTGGCTGAAGGCAACAAAAGTGATTCCAGAGTCTATGTGAGTTGCTAGGATCGCTATCTTTAATCTTTTTTGGGTGCTGGTTCATCCCACCCATGGAACCCAGTACTCGGCTGAAGGCAGTAGAGACCCCCCAGCAGATCTCCAGCGCTCTCTTCTCCGTGCACCATTCCTTCCCCTGGTCCTCCACCCTGCTAACTCTTGCCCCATGTCTCCTTACATTTCTAAATGCATCTTCTCAAATCGGGGAGACCACTGGGCTCCTTCTGGGTTTTGCCAACCCGAGTTAAGAGTTATGGCCTGGAAATGTTGACGAGGCAGTAAAACTCGAGTAATCACATAACTCAGCTTATTGTATTCCTGTCTCCCAGGGATCACTGCCAAGTACTGCCTAACGTTCAATTTCTGAAAACCATTGTTTCATATATTTTGTCTAGCTTTTTTTTTTATTGTTTCAGGAAGGAAAGTAAAACAAGCTCCTGTTATTCCATCTTGGCCCATTTTCGGGACTAAATTGCACTTCACACTATAGCGGGGAAGCTTCCTCCAGAGACAATGATGGCTTTAGAGAACTGGTAAGTCAGTGAGCTCTGGTAAAAGTCACAGCTGACATTTAACGTTATATGGAAACAGTGACATCGTCATTGCTGATGTGCAAAAAGATTTTCCTGTTTCATACGAGTATCTTTCAAAAATTACATTTGTATGTAGTTGATTCAATAATAATTTTTATTCTTGAAAATGAATAAAGTTACTAAATAAATGAATATATACACAATTGACTTAGAAAGATAAGACATAAAAATATCTAATTTCTGGATTTTAAAAAATCATTGAGACTATAATGCTTTAAAATGGTATTATATTTTGTTTTTAAGCTGCTGAAATGTAAGTAACAAATGAATCAGAAGGCTCTGTAACTGACAAGGTATAACATGACAGGGAGACTGAAATAAAGTATCTGTGAGGAAATGGAGTTGAGGAGTGTCAAAAACTATTGGGAAGCAGAATTGATAGAATCTGATAACTGACAGGTAAGGAATACAGAAGTTCTAGTTTGGAAATGTCAGTGACAAATGAAAAGGAAGGAAGGAAACAGGAGTGAGGAAGGAAGGGGAAGGAAGGGGAAGGAGGGGCGAGGAGAGGAAAAGAGCTCAGAGGGAAGGAACCTGAGGTTTGGGTTTATTGAATCTGAGTGCCTGGCTGAACACAAATCTGCTCATCAGTGGTATTCATTGAAAATGTTAGCATCTGCCACGCATCTGGCACCATGTTAAGTGCTAGGGATAGCATGGTAAAGAAGGCTCCGTACTTTGCCATTATGGGTTTTCTTACTCCTTAAAAAACATAAAGTCCCTAAATGAAATACATAGAGAATATTGTTTTATTCAGGACAAAGGTGAGTCAGGACAAAAGTCTAATTTCTCAGGAGTCAACGAGAGAGCAGATATAATTAAATGTGATGAACACTGCAGGAAGTTCGGGATGCCATGAGAGGCTAGAAGATGCACCCCGGCCCCATTCTAGAGGCCAGTACAAAGGAGTGGGTGGAAGAGTCTCAGAAGATCTGCCTCCCGGGGAAAGACCGGAAGATGAACACAAATCACTGAGGCAAAATGGTAAGAAACTTTATTCCAGGTACTGTGAGGAGTATCGATTAATACCCAGTGGCCATGGTATAATGGAGGAACTAATAAAATTTCAGTGGCCAAGTATATAATAATATGAGATTGGGGGAGATGGTAAGAACTATGGGAAACTTCCCTAGGACTTAAGGCAGAAAATTACTTAAGACTGAAGTTCTGGGAAGATCATTCTAGTTACTTATAGATAAAGAATTTGATGGGTCGGGCAAACCCAAGGACAAAAAGACATAACGGAAGACTGCAGAACTAATCTAGCAGATAGTTAACAACAGTGTCAGCTAGCAAACTTGGTAGCAGCATCTAAGCAGAGGCAGCCAAGCTATGGGAGTGGATGAATTCACAAGGAAAGTAAATATAGAACAATATGGCTGAGATTTTCCAAGTAGTCATTCTAATGTGGATGCTAATTATGCAAACTAAATAGTATCACTAGAAGGCACATAAAAAAATCTGTAAAATGCATGCAATAAATCTGAGGGAATGATATAAAGCAAAAAAGCAAAAAGTACGAAGTGCAAACAAAGGATGATTTAAACAAGCTTACGCTACTAAGAGCCCAGAAGTTTTTCCTCTAGAAAAAATTTATAACTAAACATTACATATACCAAATGATATCTTTTGATGCAAAGCAATTAACATCATGTGGCCCAGACTAAATTTAATGAATGGTTACCACATAGTGAGAACTTTACACCCCGACTGCCAAGTGGCAAAGCAATGATAAAAGTAATTTTCTAAATGGTAGGATAATTAACAGAGCATAATTTCAGTTTTGAAAAAATAAAGCAGGCCCATTTGTAAAATACTCACACATGTTATTCGACAATTTTGTGGTGATTGTAAACTAGTAAACACAAGAATTCAACATCACTGAGACATCTTAACATCTTAATTCTTAACAAGAATTAAGACATCATTATACACTGTCAGTTTGTACACCTCAGATTTATTCCTAAAACAGATTTTGTTTTTGATTGGCAATAAAAAAAAGGTTTTATTTATTTTTAGAGAAAGGGGAAGGGAGGAAGAGAGAGAGGGAGAGAAACATCAATGTGTGGTTGCCTCTTGCCTGCCCCCTATTGGGGACCTGGCCTGCAACCCAGGAATATGCACTGATGGGGACTCGAACCAGTAACCTTTTGATTCACAGGCCCATGCTCAATCCACCGAGCCACACCAGCCAGGGTTGATTTGGAATGTTTTAAAAGTCAAATATGGACAGCGATAAAGTATGGAACAATTGCAAATATAAAAACTGTTATCTAAAAATCTATCTAAATATTATTCTACTCTTAAGAAAATATTTTCGTATTGTAGAATGTTTATGAAAAAAGAATCTTTACTTCGAGAAGCCCCATAATTCAGTTACCTTCTTGGAATCAGGCCACTTAAAAAAAAACCATGCATATATATCTTTGTCTTCTGTGATACAGATTTGCAGGGTACCATAAGGCATTAAAGGTAGCTTTAA